TATTTTGACTTTAGTCTCTACAATGTCGGCAGATCGCACCAGCGCGTTTGTATCTCCCGTTTGCATTACGGTGCATCAGAAGGCGTTCGATCGCACCAGCACATCGTCTCGTCGAACGGCGCGGCGCCGCGCCGCGCCGCGCCGTAAATCCATGGTAATTTGTGAAAGAGCTGAGGCCTTGCAGTTAGAACACGCCGGAGCTCAACGAAGAGTAGATTTCCACGTCGCCCTTAATCGAAATTTATTAACCGTAGCACAAGTGCAAGTACCGCGTGGAATTACACCGCGCGGATTGGATAACGCTCGCGCGTCGCTTATTATGCACCTTGATATCGTTTCACGCCGGAAAATTCCTTATGCAACTGGCTAGACGGTAACGATCGCTGACATAAGACAAATAGCCTTCTATTTTTAGACGCGATATCACGAGTCTCCGGCACGAGAGTTTGACGTGTTCGATTGTCTCTTAACACTGATAAAATAACGAAAATATGTCGAGAAAAGAAGTCGATGCATTATTAACCTTTAAGTGCGTCTCGAAGTGCGTGCATATATATACAAAGCGGCTTTCGATGCTCCGTATATTCTCTCTTATGAAGTTCGAACTGAAAACGCGCGGCTTTGCACATCTGTAAAGGGCCTTCTCTGGCTTTTCCGGTCCTTCTTTTTCTTCTGAATGGGAAGGCCTTTTTGTAGGCCTTCCTACCTGTAAAGATTGAAATTAAAGAAATTAAAGAAGAGTTTTTTAAATATTTTTGTAAGATTCTTTAAGTAGTCATTATTTATTTAAAAAAAATACAGAATGCTACAAATTGTGCATTTAAGGATTAAGATGCATTAAATTGTTAAGAAAATATCAAATAAATTTTGAATTTTTATAATAAATTTAGTAATTTTCTGTAGCTTACATATATAACTTATATAGGTAGCTTATATAGGTAAATTTAACTACTTCAATTATTTGAATTTTTAATCTTACGGAAATAGATTTTAATATCGTAAATTTATAGTCGCATATATATATATATATATATATATGTATATATATAGTAGGTCTAAACAGAGGTAAACAAGTCGCGTGGAAATCTTTCTAGAAGATACGGTGATCTTCAGTAAATGACTGTCACGAGCCCCCGTTTATGTTAATTGACATTAATCTACGCGGAACAAAGTTTGCAGGCGAACGGCGAGTCTCTAGCCGCCCGTTCGAATTAATCAAATTATGTCTTGTGCGAGTCCGGCCTGCCAATTTATTACATCTATTCACGTGACGATGGATCATTCTCATCATCATCATCATCGCGTCACCTCGATTGTCCCTCAATAAGCTTATGCGCTTCTTCGCAAACAGCGCGCTCCGTTTTATCATGTACTTTCCTATTCATTCGCCGATCTCCGCGATCGGAAGAACATCGCGCGCGAATATCGTGTCACGATCTACCAATTGATCATCGCATGTATCTGATTCCGAAAGAAAGCAAAGAAACTGATGTTTACGGCTGGAGAACCGAGGAGCTAATCGGAGACGCGAGATGAAAAGTGCGATTGTCAGGATTTTTCGTACGGATGCTGATGTCACCAACACTATGATAATGACGTAATTAAAATGTTATTATTTTCTACGACGAAAGTGCGGAGCTCTCTATCAATATGCTGTGACTATTCAAGTAGTATTTTAACCAATTTCTCGGTTGACCCAAATATTTTTTAAAATTCATAAATCGTTTCTTATGTAAGACTGCTACCATTTTGCAATGACGTATTATAATATGTATTTCAATTCGTATCTGTGTTTGCGCAAATGTTCAGGGTATAACAGCAACGTTCGCAAAGCACTAAATTGACGTGCGTTTCATTAAGGATTGATCGCTCAGCAATTAACGGCGCGTTACCGGCCACGAATGACAGCGTAATTGGCTCGCGGTCGTGTCGATATTTCTATACGATATGAATTTTCTGTTCTGTGACCACCAAAAGCGATGTAGTGACACACAAAAATATCACATCGTCAGAATTTTTCTAATCTTTGATTATATAGGTACACAAACAATATATTGTGCACTCGAAGAAGTGATATTTAGAGTCTGGTGCAGCTGCGATGCCCGACTCGCCTCGAGGCTTTTAATTGAGTCTCCGCGATGTCTGATTAGGATTTCCTTTTCCTGTTGGTCGTTGTGTATACTTCACAATAGATTTTATCGCGACGTTTAAGCGTTGCTATAAATATTCCCTTGGATATTTCTAAGCATATCGAACAAGTACATATGTTCTATTTGAAGACCGTCTTTTTTTGACGTAAAGGTATTTATTTGAATAACACATTTAGCAGTTTTTAATTAAATATTAAAATCATAAAGTTGCTGCAATCATCTTTTAATATTGTTTAGGCAATATTTTAAATTATAATATTGTACTTATAACATTTATAGATGTATGTGGAACGAATCTTTAGTAGTCTATTATTATAATTCTTTATAATTTTGGAAAGCTTATTTAATCGATCTAAGAAATTAATAAGCATTTTTAAAAAGTATTGAATCAATAAAATAAAAACGTAAAAATATTGTAAAAGTCGAAAGAGATTGCATAAGAATGATATGGAAAAATTTGTGAAAAATGATTAAATATCGGTTTTTACTTTTATCATACTTGATACGAGCATTTTGCTGTCGAAAAAATTGATGAAAATTGAGGCGTACATTGTTGCGTCATACCTTTATTTCCGTAAGCTTCGCTTCTGCGAACAAGCTACCGCGCCGTTTGATGAGTCACGATGAAAGTATCTATCCCGAGTATCTCTTATACTATACTCGGGTCGCGACTTGTGACACAAGATCAAGTCAGGCGTTGAGGACGTCCTGAATTCGCGAAATGAAAAAACTTAAATTCGTGAAGAAAAAGAAGAATCGTTTTCTCGAAATTAAGATAGCGCTGCCCCGTTATAAAGTTCAACATCTTTTATCATCAATTAGCATTTGTAATGAGAAAAAATTATGGCAAACTGAGGCGACTTTAATCTCGCATGTTCAAGAAGAAAATAATTACGTGGAAGGATTAGATTCGCGAGACGTGAATTTAAATCGTATAAGTTGTGAATGTAATCCTATAAAGATGATAACGAGATTTCGCTGACTGCGATAATACTTTTGCGCGCGAGGAAACTTTCACGGAGCACGAAAAATTGCATCTGGAAAAAGAACGTCCGGATTAGGCTGTAGAGTTAAGTGCAATAAGGTAAACGTAATTCACGTGCTGCTTTTTATCTCAGAGTGAAAAATGCAAATCTAAATCCGACTAAAATATCGTTTGGCACTAAAGCAACTATATTTTTAAACAGATTTTTTTACGTGACATTTAATAAATCAGAGAAGATAACGTCTAATATATTAAATCTAAAATTATTTGCGAAGAGGATAAAGAAAGAGGATTTTAAAGATTTTCAGGCTATTTGTGCAAGGAAAGTGGCAATCGGAAAGTTACTGAAAATAAGTAGCTTATTTTGTAATGAGTGGATAGAACAAAATAAATCAAACATTATACCATAAAAGAAATTTGTCATTTTTATTAATTTATAGGGCAAGAAGAACATATATTTATGAACTTGCAATTATCGTCCAACCTCAGATGATTGTCAGTTCGAAAATATAAATCACAGAACTACGGAACTGAATTGTTGTTTCTTTTTTTATGATATTTATTTTTGCAAGTTTATATATACCCATTTTTTTGTTAGAATGACAGATTTTTTTCTGCAGAACAGTATTTAATTTCATTTTATTTCGTCCATTGTTATTACAAACTAACAGATTTAGTTTCAACAATTTTCCGATTGTCGGAAAATATTGTATTTGCGTTAAAACGACCTACACTGAGAAAAAAAATTGTTAATTCGAAAAAATATTTAGTCCGATACGTTCAACTAAACATTAGTTGTTTCAACAATTTATTTAGTTTCTTTAATTAAGAATTAATTAATTTAACTAATGTTTAGTTAACTAACTAAAATATTTAGTTGAACGTATCGGACTAAATATTTTTTGGGATTAACAAATTTATTTTCTCAGTGTAGTAACCCAGCATTTTATTTCCCAGAGCCGAGAAAGCGAAATAAATATTTCGCGATTTTTATCGATGCATTTCCATTTAATGGCACTGCAGAATTAGTCGCGCGCGTCACAAATTATTCCCTAGGAAACCACCCCTTTCCACACGACTGCAATTACGTCGTATTATTATAGCGGTACCCGCGGCGAGCACGCGGATCCGATATTTTTCGCGCACGCAAACACGCCTCTAGCCGGTCGAATCCGGTTTGCGAATTTCGTAGTGATAAGAGAACCGTGCGCGCGATAATGGCTCTTCTCTATTGAGGTCCGACACTTGAGCCAGTCGTTTTGTAATTACTACGCTTCTCGTGCGATTGAAATGCAAAATAAACGCGCTCACCTGCCACATTATCTTAATTACTGTACGTGCCTCGTATTGTTCCCCGGTGTCTTGTTCAGGATCATCTTGTTTAACATTTCGCGTATCTCCGTTGCTCCGTCGCGTCCGTCATCGCGCATCCTACGTACGACAGATGTAATGGATCGCTTTATCCGGTCGACATTAGCGCGTGATGACTGAAAAAAAGAAAAATAGAGACCTTATATAATATTTCGCACGGACGGGAGACTTGGCACATCGCCGACAATCGAGAGCAAGTGCGACTCGCTACGTCGCGCGTCGGCCTGACCGTCGCGAAAAATTGCCCGTCAATCTTTTTTTTTTTTATTTCCGCGGCTCCTTATCGAGTTTCAATATACGTTGATGTCTCGCCCGTTTCCGCACTCTCATATCTCGCAAATTGCGCTTTTACTGCGGCCGATTGACTCAGACGGCAGTCGATTAAGTTCGAAGGCTGACACTTCAAGATCGTCGCGCTTCGTTTCGCGATCGTTTCTACGATCTGACCTGGTTTCTCTCTCTTTTTTTCCGCTCCTGTCCCCGTATGGCTACAGTATCCGTGAGAATACGGTGAACGGCTTGGTACCTGCCGGCGACTGTAAGATCTGCAAGGATACGAGAGACGAGCCGAAGGACTCCGAGGGTTCGTCCCTGCTCTGCGCGCTGAAACCGCGTAAGCGCAAGGAACGTCGCGAATCCTGTTGCCAAGAACGGAAGCTAATAAGGTATTCTTGCATTAAGAATCATACGAATCCTTCGACGTCGTTTATATTGTTTATAACGTCTTTGATTTGATCTTGGATTTGAATTGAATTTTAATCCCACTAAACTGTTTATATTACATTTTGACAAACCAAACACCTTTAATTAGATTCAATTAATATTTATTGACGAAATCAATTTATAGTATAAATATTTTATTGCACGCATTACAATTTTGTTGTTAGAGCACTTAATTTATGTAATTTGTGTTGTATTAATTATAACATGTAATGGCCTGTTATGTGTTATAATTGTGAAAGCGCTTTGCACGTGCGGTAGATCGCTGACAAATTATTCCGAACTTCATGTAGTTTTGATTTCTCTTCGTTATTAAATTGGCTGTACTATTAACAACAAATATTGAATTTGAATTTGTGAGAATTATCGCGGCGCAGATATATGCAGCGTTTATTTGCTAAGTGCAAATTGAATTTTATGGATATATTTGCATTACGGCGGATCTAGAAAAAAGAATTGTACATGGAACTGCGCCTTTTAGGAGTAGCAGTGAGGAACGCGTTCTTGACAGTCCCACTGACGTCGCAGATACGATCAGGCGTGTAAGCAGCCACGAAGATTTCAATAGCGAGGAACATTTGCATATTTTGTCGCAACTTGGTCAAGACATGGGTCACGGCGTGGTGAGTATAATCACGGCAATATGTAATGCTCAACTCTCAAAATATGACATTTTTGTAATTATAATTTATGTATAATACTCTAGAAACATTTTCTAGTAAAGCTAATTGTCTGTTAACATTTTTTATCTCAAACGTATCAAAAGTGGACTTCCAATTATTGCATAATATATTATTTATTTTATTTTACATTTTAAACTAGAGATAATTTTTTGGTATATAATAAATCAATATTTTAAGAGAATTAAACATTAATCTGATCGTAAACGTAAGCTTGATTGCTAATGGATTTGTGATTTTGATGCAGAGATGTGGCGGATTACCGCTCCATGAAAGAACGAACGTTTCGCCGGTGTCGAAAAAATCGTCATCGGTGCCGTCGCCGTGCGAGGTGGTTGTGGCGACTGAAAAATATGACTGCGACGCCGAGAGATTGAGAAATAGCGAACGCTTCAGCAGAAGCATCACCCCGAGAGGCAGAAGACAAGCGCGCAGAAGAAGAGTACATAGAGTCCCGGATATTGACCAGAATTCCAGCAAGGTAAATAAAATCCTTCGATATTTTCACAGAAATGGCAAAGGTTAAACTTTACGAGTCATATATAATATCTATGTTTGTTAAAAGTTAATTTTAATTAAAATTCAATCTGAGTAAAGTAAATTCCGATATTGCAATATGGTAATTCAAATTGCATTTTAAAAATTGGCATATTTAAATTTCTAGGTGTGTGTGAAATTTGCAAACTCTGTGCAATATGTGCGCACATTCTTAATAGTAGGGGAGAGTGGGGTAACTGCGAACACGGGGTAAACGCGAACGATATTATTGTAATATATTATTAATTATTAGAATAGTGATATTCTCCCACTTCTCGTATGTACACGTACCACTGAGCGAATATCGGACTATCACTGGGTGCGAGAAGTGGGAGAATATCCTACTCTAATATACTACAATAATAATCGCTCGTGTTTACGCAGTTACCCCACTCTCCCCTAATAGGATTTTATAAATGTTGAAGCGATAATATTGCGATACTTAAAATATATTTTTTATTATTTTATTTATAATTATATCTATAATTAATAATAAATTTATAATAAAAATACATAATATTTATTATATAAATATTAAATATATTTAATGTGCCACACACACACACATATGATGAATTATTTTTCATAAATAAAGAATTTTATTTCTTTAGGAAAATGAAGAAGAGCCTGAAAATATGTACATCTCCAATGTATCACCGAGTCCTAACAGTCATAATGGCTCGCCAGCTCAAAGCTTTCTGGAGATGTTAAGCAGCGGACCGAGCAGATCACCTTCGCCAGCTCGTCCGCCCACTGTTGATCACGAGGATGTAAATAATCCCAGTTTAACCAATTGGGGCTTTCAACATTTGGAAGGAAACGTAAATATCTGGATTAATAAAAAGATTAGAAACCACGTATAATTATTAAATTATATTACACGAAATTAAACAATTAAATGTAATTTTAAACAAAAAATTACGAATTATGTGAATAGTGATATGCAAAAAAGTGTACATATTAATCAAAATTAAAATTTTTATCAAAAAATAAACATTCCAATTGTTCTTGTATCGATTATACGTGTCCAATGGATCTTGATAGGAAGAAGCCGTGGACGCTCGAGTAGAAGCTATGCTCTCGCCGAGGAACTCGCTGTTGGTACCCAGGAGATTTTATTCTGAGGAGGAGATACAGCCGAGCACGCTTAGCTCGTCAGAAATGGGACTGAAGAACCTTACGAAGCACATTAACGGCCTGAAGAAGAAGATCAAGAAGTATGAGGACGAATTTGAAGAAAACTTCGGCTATCGACCGAGTCATTCTGACAAAATGAGCAATCGCGACATCAAACGGCTGTGTACGGAGCTGAATAAGTTGCGAAAGGAACACAAGTTACTAAAGGAGGATCCAATAGGCGCGCTTCTGGCCAACGCCAACAATCGACTGAACACCACTGGCAGTCTTATAAACAACAACAACGGCCACGAGAAATCCCAGGCGATGTCGATAGAAGAGGTGGTCAAGGAATCGGAGAAGAAACTCAGTGAGAAGCGCATCAAATACAATCGGTCCGATAACATGGAGGAGCTCAATTACGATCAGTTGTTGGATGAAAAGACAGCCGTGCAAAAGGCATTGCTTCAAATCGAGAATACTTTCGGCAGACCAGTCTCTAAGGAAGACAGAGCGGTCGTGCGACCATTGTACGATCGGTACAGAACATTAAAGAGATTGCTCATTAGAGCGGGCGCGGTAAGAACAATTAATTGTTATTAACTAAATATAATTCGAAATAAATTAAAAAAAAATGACAATGTGTTTTATAAACGTTACAGAGCAAAAACAAGGACAGCATTTCGGAACTGGCCACGATCCTAGAGCACGAGACGATGGATTTCACGTCATCGAGTCTACCGGGAAATCCCGTAGAGACTGACAGAAGAGCCAGCGAACCTGACATGTCACATCGAGGCATCTTGGACTGTATCGATCCTATGGATCAATTACCAACCGACAGTGATAGCCAGCATAGCAGCAGCGAAGGTAGTCGCGGTGTAGGTGAAAGCCTTCACGCTCTTCCCCAGTAAGTTTAGATTAAGATTAAATATAGTTTGAGAAATTGTTACATATTCTTTTTTTTTTGCCTTTATTGACTTTATGCTCTCAGAAGAGATTTTTAAATTAAAAACTATTATTAATAAAAGAACAAATCCAACTTGAACATATTGATCAACAATGTCATCTCTTCTTCTTGTAGAGAAGAATTATTGATGCAACAACGGACTACTCGAGAGGAGAAGAAGCGGCTTCGCAGAGCGTTGAAGGAATTAGAAGCGCAGTTTGAAGCCCGAGCTGGTCGTCGTATGCAACGCGAAGATCGCGGACCGCAAGTCACCACCGTGTACGAATCCTACAAACAGGCGAAAGCGAAACTGAGACTGATCGACGCCCTCATAGCTAAGAAGGCTTGACGTAGTATTTAATTCGAGTAACGAAGAACTGACTTGAAACAATATTGTTGAATCTTAAGCTATCTTTGAACGTCTGTAAGAAGACACATCTGTCGCACCACGCAGGCACATTCATCGCCGTCTACAATTCCTGCATCGTGCGGCCATGATTAAAAAGGCCTGAAAAAGCAATATCTGCTGAAGCGAAGAACACTACTGTAACATAACGAGAATCTATCGTCTAGAATCAAAAGATTTCGCGAACAAAAACGTGAAAGTGAATAATACATGTGAGTGTAGGATTTACTTCGCTTTCGTAAGATCATGTGTACCGTATATTCTCTTATACGGTTTTCTTTCGATCGCAAATTCTGTTCGCGTTACAACGCTGGGGAATTAATACCGAATGTTTTCAATGTTACAGTATCTTTTTTACAACATCATTTTCGATCAACATAATCGATATGTTGAAAGTACGCATAAGTGGACATATAATGAGCAATAGTAGTCCACATGATATCGTGGTAGTACATTTCAACTCTAAAAGTGCTAATAATTCTACATAAAATGATTATTACGATGTGATGTATCGTAATTGTTCGATGAAATCGCGTATCTTGTTCACCGGTTCACTTTGTATTTAACGTGTTTGTTTGCAATGGAAGATTTCCATTTGATTGTCCTCCATTCATTTCATCGCGTATGCAGCATTAGGATACATATTTGACGTTAATAAGAAACTGCTTATTTTGATATATTTACAGTTTATAAAATTGATCAGTTACAAATATATAAAAAAAATGTACTTATATTTTATATATATATATATATATATATTTGTTGCAAAGATTTCTAAACTTGTTTGTACTTAAAGTGTCAAGTTTTATAGCGGTTAACGCAAGAACCGCTGTTGCTATTGAACAAACACCGACTTGTCATTTTAAATCGTTTAAACAACTCCTCAAGATTTTTCCAACATATAACGATGTGTATCATACGATTGTGAGAAACGTGTCAGACAGCACATTTATTTTAAAGTCACATGTAATTTTATTTTCGTAATATTAACATTTCAAAAAGAATAGGATTTATTTGACATTATTTCGGGAGGAGTTCTCGTTTAGTTTTGCTGTTAATGTAAAGCCGGTTGAATTTTTCTCACGGACGATAATATAATTATTGTGTCGATAAGACTTAAAAGAGAAAAGATAGAAGAAAGCGGGTATCCATATAATGATAAACGTTTATAGTGGACCCGATATTTATTTTATCATCGTACAGTAATCGCTGAAGTCTAAACGCTGAAAGAGTAATGAACGAATCTGTGGGGTTACTCGTAATATAAGTACCTTGTAAGAGATATCACATGTTGTAATATTGTAGAGTACTATAAAATGTTACGATCTTAATAACGTATTAAAAGAGAAAGAGAAAAAGAATATTCACTAAGAGAAGCTCGTTGATTTTTGCGTTTATATTTTTGTACAAGTACGATTTTAAGGCCATTCGCAATGTATACACACACAACCGACTAGGGACTACTATCATAAAAACGCCTTAAAATTCCACTTGAATCGATTTTTTCACATAGAATCTCGAGAATCAAGGGTGCTAATGGCTTGAGTTCTACCGCATGCCGACTAATACGAAAGAAATGCTTTGCGAATCTCTGACTGATGAGTTGCAATCGCGCTGTTTTCTTTTTCTCATTTTACTACGACACAGCGATGAAGTATCAGTCACCGTTTCAGAATCGGAAGTTCTAATATGTAATTAAGACACAAAAGCCGCGGTGGTTTTAACTCTTTCGGGTATCAAACAGGAAACGAAGATCGGCGATGAAATTCACTATATATAAATTCACTCGCTGATCTCGCATACCCGCAGGATAAAATTATATAAAATAATTATATATCGATGGCAGCGAAGTCGCGAACACATAAATGCGAAATGCGTTCTGATTAACAAAAATGAGTAAGAAGCAAAAAAAAGATCAAGACAATTTTTTAGACCAAAGCATTTTTTAGTCTGTGATATAATGAGAGATATATTTGCGTTAAGATGGGAGAATGTGTGTGTGGAGTACTCGGTTCCGTTTCTGTTTCCTTCTTCCTTTTGTGAAAACAATTTTGTAGAAGAACAAGATAAAGGGAGATGATTTTTCCGCCGTTTCCTTCGTGCTTGAAGTCGGCGATATCTTCAAAAGATCTTACAGCGATGACGATAGCGTAAAGAAAGCAGAGTCCTTTTCCGAAAGAACGGTTGGAGACAGAGGGTACAAGAAAAAGTGAGAAAATGGATTTTTCGTAGACCAATGATCGGAATGAATATGAAAATAAATATTAAAATTCAGCAAGAATGTATCACTTTGTTAATTGGTCGCTCTTTGAAATTAATTAATCTCTTATCTGCTGCCATTTAATCACTTCTTCGTTATTTGATATTGCATAGCAACAAAAAATGTGCGACAGTAGGAACATCGTCGCAACAAGATCGTTCTCCGCGTTCGTCGCGGGATTGTTGTCCTCCATCCGTACTGCCAAAAGGACTGCGCTGTTCACGAGAGAAAAATTAATTTTGTATTTAACGCCCACAGGAGTGTTTTTATTTCTCGCGGGTGCACTTAAGCCGCGCCCCTCCACTAGTAAGAAAGAGAGAGAGCAAATTAGTATTATCGTAGATCTAAGATAACATTTTATATTAACGTTAACTAAGGTACATTTTGTAGTGGATAGTATCTTTAACGCATAAGGATAGATCGCGTGATTCTGTGTAGACGCTTTGAAAAGAAGAGAGAGAGAGAGAGAGAGAGAGAGAGAGAGAGAGAGAGAGCAGCAAGAATACTTTAAAAAAGAAGACAATGTAGAGGGAAACGAGGAAGAGGACAATTTTATTTAGCGAAGCTAAGAGGATCGTGAATCGTTTAATTGGTACTCAATGAAAAAGAATAACGCTAGATATTCCATGCGAATCACATGATCTACGAACATATCTAGAGAGATTAGAATCTTACGACAAAGAGAAAGAAAAAAAAGTGTAAAAAAAATGAAATTACTAGCGTAACGATCAATTTCTCTTGGATATCGTCATACGTAGCTGACAATTACAATCAACCGTGAGAGTCGTGACGACGAGGAATCCGTCTCTAGCAGGAGTCCTAAGAAAAACCACCTTCGGCGTTTATACACACACATGTTGATTCTGTATATACATATATATAAATATATTATATATATAGAGATATACACACACAAACAAACACACACATACAAGCGGAAGAACTGCGTATATATATATATGAATTACATACAACCATACACGCATACAAAAGGAATAATACACATTATTATGGGGTAGCAGGCAGAATCGAATAAAATGGAATACGATCTGCTGGAAACGTGCGTTCTTTTTTATTGTCCCTAAAGAAAAAGAAGAAGAAACATCTCCCAAATCGTTCCCGTTAAATGCGCATCTTTTGTACGAACGGAAGAAGAAATTAAATGATGCTTCTGCCTTTTCCCGCGATTCGGAAATTCTGAAATTTCATTGTATAAATGTGTAGACGATTTGGTAAAAATAACTGCAATTTTATTCCATTTTCTTTTTGTTCTTTTAAGGTGACTCGATTTTACAACGTCACGACACGAGCTGCAGCTGCTTATGAAACGTCTGAATCTGCCGTAACAACGCAGCCAGCTGTATGGAAGCGGGCGGTTCTCGCGTCGCATTGTAAATTTTTCTTCGACCGAAGATCTGCGTCGGATTCATCGAATGAGACTTTCCGGGTATAATCGACAAGGGAAAGGAATCCTCGCACGTTTCCTTGGCCGACTCGGTCGCGATGCAAACCAGACTGTTTTTCTCGTGCAGCATTTTCATCTGCCGCTTCAGCGCCATTACCTGTTTTCGCAATGTCATTAAAAAAAATGTGTATGCACGTCCGCGGAATACGTCGCATGTTCAATAATAGCTCTCACTTCTTTGTAGAGACCGACGACGGCATTGATTTCTTCTTCCTTAGCGTTGAGCTCCTTTTCCAAAGCGGACAATTCCTTCGCTAAAGATTTATCGTTTGACTTGTCCACCTCTAATTGCAGTCTCTCGTATTTTCTGTAAAGGACATAACCGGTAGTTCTTATTAAACTTTCAAATTTAAATGACGCCAGCACACTCACGTGTTCATCTCTTCAAATTGATCGTGAAGATTGATCAGAACGTCACGTATCTCCTTAGAATTGTGCAAATCAGAAATACGTATTTTATGATCGCCGATATTACCCTGCAATACCAATACGTTATAATACGTTTTAACTGCCAACAGCTAGAATGCGATTTACCTTTAACGTCCTCGAAATTTCTTGCTGATTTTGAGGACTCGTCAAGGTGTTGCTTTTGCTTGCAGCGAAAGAAGACTGCTGCCTAGTCTTACGATCGCACGAATCACCTTTCTCTTTACGAAGCTGTTTAGAAGCGTTATTCTCTTTTTCAGAAATCATTTCTGCATTGGTGGACACCTTCGGCACACAGCCGCTTGGCGTCTTTCTCACATGTAAATTAAACACGGGCAATCTTTTATCTCGATTCAGGTTCTCCCCGCTGTTAAACGTTCCAGTTATTTGCGAGCTCACGTTGAGAATCGATCCTTCGTAATGACCGTTCATCTGGTCCAGAAGGATCGACATCGGTCTCATGCCTCTGCTGACTTTGCGGATCAACGACGGGGTGACATCGCTCGCGATCGGCTGTCTCGTCTTCATCACGCTCAATACCTGCGTTGCGGAGGACGTTTTTCTTTAGATTGAGAAACAACTGCTTTTAGTTACATGTATATTTTGCGAGAGACAAATTATCCTTTTTGTAACGAAAAAAGCAGTGTAATTTAACGTAAATTTTAAATAATGCACGTTAAATTGTATTGTATATATTAAATTGTGCGCGAAAAAATTATGAAACTTAAGAAAAATTTGATGTAATCAACACGAAGCTGCCTTTCTCGAAGTTTCGCTTACTTGTTGAATATTTAATCCAAGATTGTGGCTCGGGGTCACCGAGGTCCCCACTACGAACGGTATGTTTCGGAAGTTAAACCTGCTAAAGTACGATCTGCTCGAGCGTTTTAATTTCGACGCCAGAGTCGGCATCCCATAGCTGGGCATGAACATTGGATCGTCGTATCTGTTGAAAGCGCGCTCGCACTGTCGCGTTTCATCTTGTGTCAATGGATCATTGTCAGGATGCTTTTCCGACTTGTCTTGTTCCTGTGCAACCTCGGGCGTCGCTCTACAAGAGAAAGGAATTTGCTAGCAGTAATGATGACGATAGAAATTAGACAGTAAATAATAATAAAAACGATAATAGAAATATAGAGATAATGATGACTATATATGTTCATCGATTCTCTGATGGAAATATTTTGCTCAAGTACTATGAAATCGATGAAAAGTGAAATAAAATTACTGAATATATTATTTCAAAATAAATCATAATTTTCCTTATATACGATATGTAATGTAACGCTATGAAATATAAGAAAAATTAAATTATACTGTTGGAAAGTAATAACAATTTTTTAAATATTAGATATCGTAAAATTAATTAAATTAATTTAACTGAAAACTGAATTTTGACTGAAATATTGATGGAATCATAATGAGGGTCAATTGAGAATTAATTTCAAATATATTTCAATAAAATTTCATTTTATTTTCAGTAAAATATTTCCATCAGGGTTATCAAGAGTAACTACAATAACGTACGTGACTATAATATTATGATTACAGATATTTACCCTGAGTTGTTTTGACAATTTAATGTCTGAGGATGACAAGCTGGTTCATTTTTCTTATCGTAGGATTGACATTCGTGATTTACACGTTTAGAACATCTGTCTCTTGGACTTGACATTGATGCCTCTTGGTTCAGTTGGTTCCTCCGATCAACGGTCTTGGGAAGGTGCGATTTTTTTTTATACTTAGCTTCATCGACTTTAGAGTGCTTACTGAACACCCCGGAATTGCTGTTCTTTAATCTAGTATTATGAAAAATTTCCACAACGTCGTTAGACTTCTTCAGCTGCTTTGGGGGATTGGATTGTTGATGCGCAACACCATGGCCTGCGTCAAAAGTTAAACAATAGAAATCTATTTATGGTAGATTTAATTGTAAAATATATATGCAGAGACGGATTACACGCAAAATCGACTCTTTACCTCTGTGCCGACGTCTCTTCGCTTCTTTTCTACCAATAAAACCCGTGTCTTTGGTGGTGACCGTGCTCTTGGAAACAGAACTTCGTAACTTCGCTTTTCTTTTCCGCGGTTTGGACACCGAATTATCCATCCTGTATACGGAGTTTATTTCGCTTCTTCCCGTTCTCGACCTACTGTTCACCACTCGTCTGGTTTTTGCGGTATTCGACATGTCCAAATTGACCAAATTCAGTCCCCCCGAATCTTCAATACCTTCAATATCTTCGACACTTCTTCTCGCGGAGCACGGCGTTACGCGGAGATAATCCTCGTCCACTTGCGACGTCAGTTTCTCGAAGGACATACTCGTCGGGAAGTAATAACTTTTATATTCTCTGTCCGCCTATTTGTTACGAAGCTCGTTAAGTACAAAAATGTGTGTACGTAAAATTCTCGTGCACATTTACAAAAATATAATCTCGCGTATATAACCTCGCGTACGCCTACTTCCGTGATTTCATCCTGAGTTGGCATCGTCGTTATCGAATGAGAAAGTGTCTTGTATAAGTGAGTCCTCGGTGTAATTGTGACATTCAACAGTCCTCTCTGTCTTTCTTCTATTAGACTCTCGGACCTCCCGATAATATCATCGTTATCGATGCTTTTTCTGGGAGAAAATCGGGCAGACTTCGGGCTCAAATTGAAAGCGTCTACGGGAACATGATCATTTAAATGTATGTACAGGTCCATTTTAATCTCGGAAGAATTTTTTTATCAAAATTTTCTTTAGCTTGTAGTTCAACATTACGATTTCTCTGAGGGATGTTACAGTTTGCAGTTTTGGTACCTGTAATTTCGCTGTTGTAACCATTATGCTTGATTGGAGATTTCAAGCCTGGACTTTTAGATGATGATATTATTGGCGAAATGTCGGACGTTTCTTTACTTTCCCTTATTTCCGTTTGAGCCTTCCGACAAACATCCATCATATAATTTAATTCAGACTTCAACGTAAAGCATTTTGTTTCTGCTTTGTTCAATTCCTGTCCCATTCCTAAATAAAGTTAGTGGTATTATATTTAAATTGTTTTTTTTATCTAAAACGCTTTCAGAAATTTTGTTTGGAACTAATTCCGACACAACATTAAACACATAAAGGAAAATTTAACGTAATGCAAATATAAATGAAAAAAATATATTTAATCGTCGGAATTGAATCTAAGCGATAATATACTTCTTAGCGTGATGTTTGGTCTGCTTTCCGATTCGTTTAATTTGCGCCATGATTGCATTTCGGATTGATGTTTCAAAGGTGATTCTGAAAAGCAAAAATATATAGAAATATACATAATATATAGAAAAATCAACTGCGAACAATGTATGTAAAAATGCTTCAAACTAGGTTTTTCCAAGATATTCATTTCACAAGATTTTATTTTTTATTTAAACAATTACCAAAAATTCCGCTTATATCGTTATGAATATTCATATTCATTACATCAAATTCTTCTTAAGTTTCATAATTTCTCGCTCACATATAGTTTAACATACAATACAATTTAACGTGCATTATCCAAAATTTATATTAAATTACACCGTTTTTGTTACAAAAAAGATAATTTGTCTTTCACAAAACATACGTACAAAATTAACATATAAAATTAAAAAAATAATTCATATAAGGTTACAGTTATACAACACGGTGGACGATCACATCGTTCTCTTGTTGCGGACGCATCCTTCTTTGTTTTGAAATATTCACACAGAGACAAATTCAATATTTAGACAATTTAACAACGCAAGCGAAGACACTTTAAAGTTTCGCCATTTCAATGTTGCGACGACGACCAATTAAGATTATAGAATCCGCGTTCTTTGAAATCGAAGAAAGTGCGATAATTAACAATTGAAAAAATGTAATCCGGCTTAAAATTCAATTTATTATTTCGGAGTTTTTCTTAAACTGAAGTAATTACATCGAGTCTGCACAGGGCAACTTAATTAATTAATCGACAATTAATTTAACCGGCAGAATTTAAAGCAAAGTTTCTATTTAATAAAAAGTTTTTATTTGTAATTCTATATTTAATAATAAAAGTTTTTTATCCATTAATTCATTGTTTTCGAACCTAATTTTTTCTGCCATATGTTAAATAATAAGAAATTAATAATTCCATTTACGTCGACAAAACAATATAGATGTTATTCGAAAAATAAATCATTAATTAAACTAATCGGAGATCGATCGATCTCGCCTATGTTTCTCGTGATTAAATCTCAAATTTCGGGATCAATTCCCGCGCTTCCGTCACGTGACCGCGCGAGGAAAATCTTCGAATGCCAGTCTCGTGCCCGCCTTCGTCGCTAGGTCGCGCTCAATTCGTCTCTCCTCGCGAGCGAAGTCGCGAGCGGCCGAGCGCTATTTTCGGGGACTGTCGGGCAGCGTTCGCGGAGTTTCAGATCAGACCGCGGTGGAAGCGAGTGGCAGCGAGTAGCAAATGGTGGACGGTGTGTGACCCTCGTCGTGGTTAACATCAGGTAGGCGAAGTTCTCCGGCGCGCGAGCCGACGCGACGTCTCTCTCGTCCAACGACATTCGGCGATCGTCGCCGGTCGGTCGACCGATCGATCGCGTCGCGCGACGCGATCGCCGTCGGGATTACGCTCAAGTTACGTAAAAATCTACCGCGGACCGAAAATAGTCACCTGACTTCACCGTACGCGGTAACCCCCTCGCCTTCCCTCCCAACCTCTCTTTCTCTCCGTTGTGCAGTCTTATCGAGAGGAGGCGAAAAGAAGGGAGAAAAAGAGAAACATTCGCGATAAGAGATCCGCCCGGCGTCAATCTCGCGCGTCTTGTGACAGTTGTGACGAAATCGTAATCGGAGTAATCAGACCCGGAGTAGTCAGTTCCTGCGAGGCCGAGGGAGGCGCGGACGAGTTCGTAGGTTAAGGTACACGCCTGAGCAGTGAGACTTGAGCGTCAGGTCTCCTCCCCCCGTTCTCTTGCTTCCCCTTCGCGATAGAGATTGTGATTTGTGAATCACCGTATTTCCCGCGGATTATTAGAGTAGGCGTTAAATGCTTGTTAGCGGCATCGTTATAGCAATCTCGTTACTCGTTAGCGACTTGTTAGCGCGCCGTCCTTCGCCGTTGTCCGCCGTTTATTCTTTATTCGATCGAATTTGCGCGTGGGCGCGTGGTCTGTTTCTTTCCGTCTTCGATGCGCCCCTCGCAATTCTTTTCCCGCAACAACGAGTTTGATCGTTCTGCGACCTTATGCTCCTCGACTTCCACGCGTTTATTGTGGAAAAAAAGAAATACGAATGCTTGCTTGCTCTTCGATCGTCTTGAATCTTGATGAACGAGCCGGGCCCTGTAGAGATCGGCAAGGAGTGAAAGGGAAAGGGAGAGGCTAAAGCGTGCTAAATGTAGACACGTGCGACCAAAGAGACGCGGTTAGTACACGTGGGTCTGGTTTTTCGCAACTCCATTTTTTTTTTTTCCAGAAATCTCGAATATTTAATTGTTTCAGTTGTTGGTAGTACCCAGAGACATGTAAGATCTGTTTTCTTCGTACGCATTTTCCCTCAACATTTTCTCATTCATTTTAATTCGAGCGGTGAACTTAGGCACGCGCGGCCAAGAAACGCGCATAGTACACGTGGTCTGGTTTTTCGCAATTCTCGCCCTCTTTTTTTCAGAGATCTCGAGTATTTAATTGTTTCAGTAGTACCAGAGACATGCAAGATCTATTTGCTATATTTATATTTATATATTTTACAGTAATAAAAATATATTAATATAAATTCTCTGTGCGAATACACTTTTTTATTTCATTGATATAAAAAAGAATGAAAATATAAATTAATATCACCTTCGATTTTTTGTACGATACCTAAAATAAATATTCATCGCAGAACAAAGGGATACAATAATTTTTGAAAAATGAATGAAACAAGTAAACACTCGTGAGTTATTTGGGAAAATATTATTTTTATTTATCGCAATGTAAAAACTTTCGTTAAGCTAGAATGGTATTTTGAATTATACGTCGTTTTTGTACCCGCTTGCTGGTAAAAATGTCGATTGTCTTGTCTTCTAATACTTTCATTTAAATTATACTTTAGTATAAAATTTATTGGTATATAATTATTAATTTCACGCTCTTACTGTAACAGATACACAGACATGTGGTTGCGTACATTCAAGTAGACGGTGCGTTCTCGGGACTGAGCGACGTTTCGCATCTGCATTTCTGACGTGAGCGCGAGCGACAGTGTCAGGTATTCCCCGCCTCCCGCCCGCGCCGTCGCGATTTCGCGGAGGCTCTACGTCAGGAGCACGGGAGACAGGGCGAGCCCCGCAGTTTTTTCCGGATAGTCACATGCGCGCGAACGAGGCCAGCGATCGTCTCGAAGCGCATTCGAGACCGTCTTGCCGCGTGTTGATCGGACTTTGAGAGTTTTATTTTTCCCGGTTGCACATACACATTTCATTTTCCACGCTTTTCCGCATATTCTGGGTGTCGAATAAAGAGAGAACTGCTCAAGGTAAATGCGAACAAAAATTTGTATTTTGTAAGGACACAATTGTGCGGCGATCTGTGAAGAAAAAGCGATACGGTTCGATGGCCTTCGTTGCTTTAACTTTACCGTCTAATTTGTGCATATATATATACTGTTTGAAGTGAAAGGAAGTATTAATCTACAAGAATTTTTCTGCTTGCTCTCTTATTACTTACCTTATCTTGCAATCTTATCTCTCTAAATAAAGGGGCACGTACGTGACGTCAGATGTTCCGCCTCTCTGAGTGAATTTTGCCTCAATTGAGAAACTGGGTCTAATTTGATTCTGTTGCTGTTAAATAAATAATAATAATTGCCAATTTAAATATGATTATTGAGAAGTATTCGGGAGTCACAATTAGTCTATACGTTAAAATTTGCTCTCACGGTTTTGAATTAATGTTGCGTCCATAAATATTGAGTGAATATTCTATAAATATTTATAATACAACAATTTGAATTACAATGTGACTGTCTGGCTGGTAAGACTTCCCTTTTGAAGAAAATCCTGCTCTTCTTTTAAGCCAAAAACAGTAATATTTCAAGTATTTTATCTTAGAAACATTACACGCGTTTCTGGCAGACAGAATGACGTCTGTCAAAGCTTATCTGAATTCCGCAAGGTCTTGATAGTGCAAACTTTGCCCGTGTACTGTGCTTTTTAGCCTTCACTCTGCTTTTTAAAGGAAATACTTCAGGCAGCATTTTGCGAATCACTAATTAAGTGTGTTTTGCCGCGAGGATCTTTTTATGTGCAAAATGCTATTTTATATTTATACAGATGAGTCTACCGGCATCTCAGTAACATTTAAAATTTTTTCTGCGGTTTTCTGTGAAACGTTTATCGCGTGTTTTTTTTTCTCGAACAACGTTACGCAATTTGGAAGTCGGCCAGTTGGTAAAAATAGAATGGTAACGCCTCGATAGTTATGGTAAACATTTAATAAAGCGCAGTGAAACATAGAAACTTTTCGTTATATAAATATTAATCGATTGAATATAATAATATAAATAACACCTCAAACAATTTTATGTATTTAATTCTTTTATTCCGCGAATTCTGCGAAATTATACAATTGCACGTTATTTGTTGAATAATATGTGTGAATATTGATCGCGTATTTACTTTAAAATTGATTGTACCTAATGACGCAGTTATGTCTCTATGCTAAGATGAAGCGTATTCTATGAAAGCGTCTATATATCAACTGGGGTTTTATTTAACCTGTGCACAAACAAGCACGCATATACATGTATATTGCAACATGTGAGAATGCCCAGATATACCAATCATGCTTATACAATTGCAAAATGCGTCTTTAGTATTCTCCGTGTTTCTTAGCAATCAGTAGATATGACATGCAGACAAAGTTTAGAATTTCAGTGATGCAATGAGAACAATTGATAAGGCAAGAGACTATAGCAGATAAGGCCAGACAAATCAGTTCGTAATCGTACGTACTGCAAGATTGGCTTAACACACATTGCTCTATGCGCTTATCAAAGTTTATATTCTCATTGATGCCTCATGACTGTGCAAGGCACCTGAAACGCTTAATTGAAATGCAAGTCAGATCTTCAAACAATGCATACTCATTTGGTCACTTGAGAAATTCAAGTGACGCGTAAAATACTAAGAACGCCTTATCGGTGACTATGTTTACGCAGTTTCGTTAGCTTATTTACATCTCTTCCACATTGACGATATGTAGCGAGATAAAGCAGCAACTGACCTTCTGCCTTCTATCATGTTCCAGGTCAAAATGTATAAGGCAAGGACAATATTCAGAACGCTGGCCCCCTTGGCGCCGCGCATGTGCGGGCCCGAAAGATACGCATCCTGGGTGGTCCGCAGTCATCCCTTGACCAGGACCAGTCAGGTGATTTTTACGGAGCCCGCGCGCAAATACAACAGCCGGGCGGCAACCGAACCCTTCTTGAATGGCAGCTCCAGCTCTTACGTGGAGGAGATGTACAACGCGTGGCTGCAAGATCCGAACAGCGTGCATGTGGTATGTAAATCTAAATGTATCCTCGTACAAAATTCGAAATCAATTTCTCATCGTAGGAGAAATTAAAATTAATTAAAGTTTGTTGAAAAGGTAAAGAGGATGTATATCTATGCCGTTTTTTCTTTTCTTTTGTGGAAGCTATTTGATTGTGCCGTTTGCTCATATTATAGCTAGAAAGATTTTCCTTAAATTTATTTTACCTTTGTTTATTCGTAGTCATGGGATTCCTTCTTTCGAAACAGCACCGCTGGAGCTTCCCCAGGATTCGCGTATCAGGCACCACCATCCCTCGCTCCAAGTTACAACCAAGTACCACTCGGAGCGTTGTTGCCACTGGGTGGCGGGACGCAACTCGGTCAGGCGCCAGTTAATGAAAAAATTATTGACGACCATCTAGCGGTGCAAGCTATTATTCGTTCTTATCAGGTATGATATCGGAATTTTGTTTGCTTTACCCCCCTGGTAACCAATTTCAACGGGCTGTGATTGCAACCAAGTATTTTTGCAAACAAGTATATTTTGCACATGACAATTTATCATGTGTAATTTTATGAAAAATATGTAAATGATAATAAACTCTTAGTAATTTGTATTAATTTGTTTGCAAGAAATGATTGCTTTATTCAGCCGTGTATAATTTACTTACAATTAGATAACGAAATGAATAACTAAATGCAGCAAAAATTGCTGCAAGCTTTTTCAATATTGCTTTTATGGTCATACACTTTAATTATATAAAAATACAATTCTCTGGTAATTTTCTACTCCTATCTCTATTATCTATAAAGATGTAATATTGTAATATTTTTTTATTTTATTACTATATAACATGTCTCTAATAAATTAAATGGGAGCCTGGAGAAATCTGCTTTTAAATCATACTAAATTATACTCCATTAAAATTTGCATGAATAAGAATACATTTTATTTTAATAGCGATATGTCAAAGATATTGTCATGCAGTTAAGAGTTTTAAAAAATTTTAATTTAATAATAAAGTTTTACAAATTCCTAGCTCTGTCGAAACAAATACGATACTACATATACGTTTTGAAGTTTATTCACATACTACGGAAATTGCTGTGGCATGCATTGATACAGCGTACATGCATCAATGTATATGTATATGTATATGCATGTAAATTCAACTGAACAAAATATTTTTGAATCTTTTGTGTCCCAGTTTTGTTTATATAATATGTAATAAATAAGAACGTCTTTTAGTATAAGTAAAGGTAATATATATGTTATATGGATTATAGAATTTATAACCATATATACTGTATGCGATATAACCTTGATGCATAGTGAATGGGTGCGTTCAGCCGATACTCCGCTAGCCTAGCGCACGTAAGCAGCGAGCGCTTTGCTACCATTTGCTACGGAAAAATTTGGCTGGACAGAAGCGAGCGCTGCTTACGTGCGCTAGGCTAGCGGAGTATCGACTGAACGCACCCAATATGTCGATATAAGCCTGGGACATGAAATATTGTACGTTGTAATTTCTGCTTAGTGTTAGGGGCTATCATGTGTATTTCCAAATTTTTCTGACATCATGTTTGTTTCATATACTGTCAACATATGATTACACAATAAATGCATTGAGTACATATATATATCAAATTATATGAGCGAATATTGCATAATAGCCTCATTTTGTACGATTACACTAGTGGCTCACTGCATCTTCTATCTCAAGCATGTCTTGCATCTCCACATTTTTCCCAAAATAAAAATGCGGTTTTTTAAATTATGATTTTTGATGCCCTGATATTTGATGACTTTTCTCAATACATCAGATACTTTTATCGTGGAAGAAGCAGCAGCACACTATTTTTAATTAGTTTATTAAAACTGTGGTAGTTATTTAATAAGTTATATCAACGCTTCTATTTTGTTTTAATTGTAGTTAAATTATAATTGTGAGAAAAACGGAAGAGGATCCATTCCTTTATAAACATTGTTCCAATAGATATCAATTCTTGGTATATGATATGTTACAAGTATCAGAACATATAAGTGGAATATTTGTTTGCTAAATAGCTGTATGTAGCTTATTGCTTCCATATTTTTTGATTGCAATTATATGTACAGTATAGTTGCGAGAGTAGACACAGTTTATATATAAATGTGAGGTTCTTTTTCGGGATTATTCGTTGGCGTATAGGCCCGAGGTCACTTAGTTGCCGATCTGGACCCGCTGGGTATTATGCAAACAGACCTGATACACACGCATTACGCAGCCCGCAAGGGGGCTCCAGAGCAAGTGCTGCGACAGTATATGCTTGGTAAGGCTTTTCTTCCAAAGCATTTTAAACGGGCTTTTGTTTTAAATATGCGTTTCTCGCCATACGTACCATACGTTTAAAGGTATATGAGAATCGCATTGTACTGGTTTGGAGTATGTGGTGTATAAATGCGTATATAGAGTCATATTACCCAGCCCATGTTTACTGCAATTTCTAAACATCTCTTTCCAATTCGCATTCAGTATTATCATTTCACGCAATCATCTTTACATATTAACATTTTACTTATATTTTGTTGGAAGCATTTTTCTACTTCTACATAAACTTTCAAGCATCTTTTTAAAAAATAATTGCTTGAAAAATTGTTTGTAATTTTAGAACGACACAATTTTAAAATAATCTTAATGATTATTTTGTCTACAACGTATGGGACGTATTTCAAAATTCTGTTGAAGTAATGTCTATGTATGTATATAAAGTTAAATAAGGATCGAATTTATTATTTCTTTATATTTTTTTGAAAATTACATTTTTTAAGTTTCTTTGTTTCTTAATATTGGAAATATCTTACAACTGACTTACTCCTAACGGCAATTGGAAAGAATTGTATAAGATGAAATATTATGTACTGTGTGCAAAGGGAAGGTATTTAACGAGCTTCGTATTGTGACAAACTTACTGATACTGAAAATGTTTGAGAAAGCATTATATTCATTTTGAATCATACAAATGATACGCCCCATCTTTTCATAATAATCGATAATTTAATCGGACTTCATAATTCGAATGTCCGTATACATGCAGGCATTGCCGAGTATGACACATTTATCATTATGAATTTAGCGCGTTTATATTTGACAGAGAGTAAAAATAGATAAATATATATACGTACATTGTCCGATAATATGCGAGTAAAATGTTGGAGGTAAGAACAACAAAGAAATTCCTGTTGACTTTGCATGTACAATTTGTATTTGTTATATGTGTATTGCTTTTGGATATTCGCACACGTTTTTCGTCTAGCATGCTTGTCTTTTTAAAATTTATACACACTAACATATTGCGCGCGATTGTTTTTCCTTGTATGAGTTACAATCCCCTTTGCATAAATAAGGGGATGTTTAAGCGGACACTTATCAGTCTTTAATTAATAAAACAGATAATATAACGCATAATTAAGCAGATGATAACGCATTAATAATAGGGAAGTTAAGGAGCAGATAACACAAATGTTAGGACAAATGCAAATGTTAAGACAATAGCTTCAATATCTTAATATGCGTATTTAATGTCAATTACTGTGATATGATGTTTTTCTTAGAGAGCACAATGAGAGATAACTTGCATCGAACACCATGTATTATCTTTGTCGTGATGCACCTATTCTTTGAAAGAGTATACAACATCAAGCACAGTAATTTATATTTTTGACTAAATATACTTAAATCAAATGAGAATTTGAAAACTATTTGGTTCGCATGAATGTGGCATTAAATTGACAGATACGTGGCCATCATATCGCTAAATTGGACCCACTCGGCATCAACAGCGCTGATCTTGATGATAGACATCCGCAAGAATTACTCTATACCCATTATTCATTCGGTAAGCTTAATTGAACGTGTTTTTGCATAAATAGAAAAGAATAAACTGTAAAAAGATTGATTTTTTTGAACAAAAATGCATCATGCATTTGTAAACTAGTAATTAGACTCAATACTAATTGATAACGTAATCGTATGTATCTTCGAGTATATTTTCGAGTATTAATTTTCCGTATAAAACTTATTTGCAGGCTGCTATTGCATAAAGCTATGTTTAATTTCTTCTCTCATGTTTAATTTAAATGAGGACAAATGAATATTTCTATCTTCCAAGTATTATTTGGACACATGGAAATGTGTAAAGTTTTGTTTCACGTTATTAATTCATCTCGTTAGTAATTCAGTTTATCGCTTAATTCTTTCAGCACTTTTCCATAACTCTACTTATACTTTATTCTCTTTATCCCGCGAGCATAGCTGTTGTTTTGGTATCACATTGAAAAAAGATATCGTTAAAAGATAAAATGTGCAACACGTTTAATTATTAATATAATCAGAGATCTAGAGTTATTAATCTATTAAATCTCTTGATTCGTTTTATTACGAGCAAGTATGAGCTGTATGCGGCAGGTAATGAATTAAGAAGCCAAATCTTTGGGGATCAATATTCGATCCAATTGTTGAGTTTGAGTCTAATGTCCACAGGGAAGAGACCACGCACTACTTTCTCGCAGGAACTTCAATACCGAGTAGCCGTCCTAATGAAAAGTATGTAGTAATCGCTGCCCAAATCGGGGTTGCTCTCGTAAAGCTCTCTTTTACTTGCGCTAGTCTATTGGGAGGCACTGGTTTATTTTGGATTTGCACTGTGAAGTCAGGTAGTTTTCGACTGAAAGCCTATATACCAGGTGCTTGGGTTCTTCTGTGTAAACATATCTCGACTATGTAAAAAGTCAAAAGATATTCACAGGCAACAGGTAGTTTTCAAACGTCTTCCGTGGAGGAATTAGAGGAGGGACATTTGAGTATTGATGTCACAGATATTTTAATGTGACGGACTACAGATACGGATGTAAAACTTTGGCAAAAAAAGAAACTAGTTTTGTTCCTCTTTTACTTTCTCACCCTCTCTGTTGAATCGAAGTGTTGCGTATATTATCTCTGACAATTTTTCTAACATGTATTTTTTTCCCTTTACCTATGTTCTGTTTCTCACCGCATTTTATATTGTCTTATTTGCTGTATATTTTCTATTACATCTTTTTAGTTTGTTTGAAACATTTTCCAATGGTTGGTTCAATGGTGGTTGTTGTTTGAAGTTTGAACTAACGATGCTTTACTTTAAGCTCACAGCTTTTCTTTTGCATCAAAGAACTTTGTTTTTCTTTCAGTTTGGTATTTGTTTGCACTGTCGTGCGTATAGCGTATGTTATGATCATCAGTATCCTCACATACCTTTCAAAAGTATACTGCATGTTCGTTTCAGCAGATATTTTGCAATATGTGAATATTATCTATTATTAAAGAAGCATTTATACAGATGCGATATAAATATTATTTCTTAAATTAAAAATGATAACTATTAGACCTTGTACTAAAAGAAAGTAATTACTGTTGAAAATAGAGTTTTAAAGCATAAAAGGCACATTTTCAGTATCAGTTTAAAAAAAACAGAAGAAATGAAAAGAAAAATACACATATTCCAACAGTTCAACTTATACACAATTTAATTTTTATATTTACGCTACATGAATTATTTTATATTACATAAATGCGAAATAAATGCGCGATGCATTTAAATATCTGAGTATATAGCAATATTAATTGGGAAAGGTTTGGGATATTTATAAAATCCATGTGTTTTTTATTCCAAATACTTAATACAGAGGAGTCGGACATGGATCGTGTTTTCAAATTGCCATCCACTACGTTTATCGGCGGCAAGGAAAAATCATTGCCGTTGCGTGAGATCCTGAAGCGACTCGAGTCCGCTTACTGTGGTCACATAGGTGTCGAGTTTATGTTCATCAACTCCTTGGAGCAATGCAATTGGATCAGGCAAAAGATGGAAACGCCCGGAGTCATGGAAGTAACGAATGACGAGAAGAGGCTCATTTTAGCCAGATTGACACGCGCAACCGGGTAATAACACCAGCGCTAATCAAATACTTGAATTAAAAAAAAAAAACATGCAAACTTTGAAGTTAAAAATTTTCAGAAAAACCAAAGTTTTGTACTTAATTTCTGTTTATATTTTTATATTTTTATCTTTTTTGCTATACAACTTAAAAAGCGTTTTACCAAAATACCTTTTAAACAGGAATTATACTAAATTGACATGTGAATGGCAAAGTGTGGAATTTAGATTCTCTTCTCTCGCATTTACTTGGTATCTAAGAGACGTAATTAGCAAGGGTCTTTTAATTTGAATCACAGATTCGAAGCATTTTTGGCGCGCAAATGGTCCTCCGAGAAGAGATTCGGTTTGGAGGGTTGCGAAATTTTGATTCCAGCTATGAAGCAAGTGATCGATAAGTCTACGGAACTGGGAGTTGAGTCGATTGTCATGGGTATGCCTCATCGTGGTCGCCTCAATGTTCTCGCTAATGTCTGTCGTAAGCCATTGAGTCAAATTTTCACACAGTTTGCTGCGCTCGAAGCCGCCGATGATGTAAGCATAAGACGAATCGTGCTTTTAGCTACGTAGAAAGTTTGTTGATACGAGAATTCTACTAATGATAAAATAATTTCAGGGTTCCGGCGATGTAAAATATCATTTGGGCACGTACATTGAGCGTCTTAATCGAGTGACGAACAAGAACATTCGTCTCGCCGTGGTTGCAAATCCATCGCATTTGGAAGCTGTAGATCCGGTGGTTCAAGGCAAAACACGCGCCGAGCAGTTCTACCGTGGCGACGGCGAAGGCAAAAAAGTAAGCAATTGCTATATAAATGAAAATGTACCTTGAATACTTCTTACAATTAGATTGGCAATGAGCGGTTTAAATAAGGAAAAACAACTTTAGAATTTGAATTGTGAGATTCAAGTCGGTTAAATAGTTATTAAAATGATTAAATATTATTGATTCTTAGATATTCAATAACATATGTGATATAATTATACAATCTTGATTACGTTTATGGATGTTAACTTATTTTAATGAGTGTAATTTTATGTATACTCCAGGTCATGTCCATTCTTCTTCACGGAGATGCTGCGTTCTGCGGTCAAGGCATTGTCTTCGAGACAATGCATCTATCTGACCTGCCTGATTACACCACTCACGGCACTATTCACATTGTTGTGAATAATCAGATCGGTTTTACTACCGATCCGAGGCATTCACGATCGTCGCCGTACTGCACTGGTTGGTACTTACTGATGAAAATCGAGTCTATATTCTCTAATGGCATGAATTATCGCGAATTTATTTATCAGATGTGGCTCGAGTGGTGAACGCACCTATCTTCCACGTGAATTCCGATGATCCCGAAGCTGTGATGCACGTGTGCAAAGTAGCGGCGGAATGGAGGGCTACCTTCCACAAAGACGTCGTGATCGATTTGGTCTCCTACAGGCGCAATGGTCATAATGAGATTGACGAGCCGATGTTCACGCAGCCTCTGATGTACCGTAAGATCAAGAACACTTTGTCAGCCCTTGACAAATATGCCAACTCGCTCATTGAAAATAGTGTTGTCACACAAGAAGAAGTTAAGGTGCGAAAGTCACATATATAATATAATTACTTTATATAATTACTTTTACAATAAAAGCGACGTTTCTTTGTAGGATGTCAAAGACAAATACGAAAAGATCTGTGAAGAAGCATATAACAACGCCAGGCAGGAGACGCATATTAAGTACAAAGACTGGTTGGATTCACCGTGGTCAGGTTTCTTCGAAGGAAAGGACCCGTTGAAAGTTTCGCCCACTGGTATCAAGGAAGACACTTTGATACATATTGGAAAAAAATTCTCATCACCGCCACCGAATGCCGCTGAGTTTGTCATCCATAAAGGTGAGCATAGCAGCGTTAGAAAACGAATACGATAATATCTGTCTCGGGGGAAAAAATATATCGTTTAGGGATAGATCGGGAATGCGCGTGTAGGTTGAGTAATTTATTCGAGTTTGTATCTTAACATAGTCTTTAATCCCACAAGTTTTAGCGTATGTACAATTCCGCGGATACGTCCGTATGCTACCGAGTCTCGATGCCGAATGTTTACCTTTCTGTCCCCGGGATCTCGCGGTCGTTGTCTCCTCTCCGGACTTCGTGTCCTTCAAGGAGTCGCTCGTCATGTTTCGCTCAATGTTATTAATTATTGTTTATGTCTTGCCAGTACGTTCCCGCTTATTGTTACCTATGTTTCTGTTTTCCCATTTTAACGTCTTTTCCTATTTACGACCTCGCTACCTCTTATTTTCGATTTGAGTTGTTTCGGCGGTTAAGTATATGACGATATAATCGCCACAATCGAATAAAAGGAATCAGAAATAAAATATAGGTAATAGAAAATCAAAATTACGAACATATAAAAATATATTGTAAAAGTTTATTGTATAATTTGTACATGTGACGGTACGCCTTTCTTGTCACATAGAATTAGCTCGCCGGAGGCAGGGTTTAAGAAACGCGTTGAGACACTTGTATGATTTTACATCGACGTTTATTGTAGACTTTTACAAGATATATCTAATAAATTTACAGAAATGTTTACAAGTAAGTTTACCGCGATTGCGGGCCACGCTTGTCGCGAGTAAGTGTTGATGTACATATGTGTGTGTCTGGGCCGATCGCAGATGTAAGCGCAGACAACGGATTTCGTGACGCAGACGGATATAAGTGTATCGCAGAGCGCAATTGTCGGAGTTTGTCTTGTAGTTTGTCGGCTTATAGTTTACCGCAGGTAGACGCATCGGAGTTTATAACGCAATTGGATGGCGGGCGTACTTATAATTACGAACGGACAAGTATTAGCCTAATTCTTAAGTCTATGAGTCGGTAATCGCATAGAACGCTGGCGCGCACTGGGACTCGGTCGGATATCTCGGTTGCTAGGAGAGTTCTTGTCGGGATTAGGATTAGGACGGGTCGGGATTGTTTACCGGTGGTGCCTCCAGCGTGATCCCGAGCTTCGCCCACAGGTCAACGCCAATTAGCATTGAGCTTTCCAACGAGGGCATGACGAGGAAATCATGTTCGTACGTTTTGCCACCAATTTTCACGGGGAGAGTAATGGTCCCCGGAATCTCAGTATATCCCCCATCTGCCAGTTTGACGGAGTTTGCCCCCTCGCATGCCTCAGTGAATCCGAGACTTTTCACATATTTAGCGATGTCCATATTGATAAAAGACACTTCAGAGCCGGAATCGATTAACGCCAGCACAAATCGCCGTTGTATGCCAACGGAGATGTGGGGCCGCGGATAATACATTACTTGGACGGCGGTGGGGATCGAATAGCGGCGGCGGCTTCGCTTCCCGGCCAGTGTCATATTTTCCGGGTGGCAGTCGCGGGTAAAGACGCCATTTTTGCCGCAACGTGAGCAAAACTTTCGGAACGGTCTCTTGCAGTCCAAGCGTGTGTGTCCGCGTTGCTTACATCTCCAGCAAAACTCCTCCCGGTTATAGGCTGCGGTTTTCTTTTCGGCTTTTTGCTCGCAGTTTTGCTTCTCTCTCGCCTCGAGCTCTGCTACGCGTGCAGTTAGGTTCTTCAACATGGTGACGTCTTCCAGGCGGATGTAATACTTATTTTCGGGTCTTATATTGTTGTTGGGCCCCTTCTCGAGCTGCTCTTCCGCCGAAGAGCCTTCTGCTCGCCGCATGCTCATAAGGAGAACCGTGGCGTACTTATTAAACGACTCGTCAGATTTTTGATACCGTCCCTGGACCTCGCGCTAATTCCACAGACGGGCGCAACGGCGGATAGACTTATACCTATCGTAACGCAAACTTATAACTACGGATGAACACGCATTAGTCTAAATCTTACATCTATGGGTCGGTAATCGCACGGAGTGCTGGCGCGCACGGGGCCGGCTAGAATCGGGAGTACCCGGGGGGGAATCCGCACACCGAGAACGCTCGGCCGAGGACGAGAAACGCTCGTTCCCTATACGAAGGATAAGTCGGGAGGAACCTCGTGTTTCGGTTTTTAGGAGAGTTCTTGTCGGAATCAGGATCGGGATAGGACTGGTGTCTTTTGCTTGCTCCGGTCCTCTATTTATACTCAGAGCGACGGCCGAGTAGCAGGTGTGTGCGGTAAAGGGGGTAAACACACGTGATCTCCCTTCCATTTACCCGGCTCGCCGCTGTGGTAGGGGGCTCGACACCCGAAGTGTGTATGGAGCAAAATGCCTGTTGTATGTTGTATAGCGCATTTAGTCGACTAGTGACGAGGCGGGGGGCGTTTGTCACATACAATATATATAATTAGGAGAAAAAATAATTATTATTTTTTATACGTTTTACAGGTATCGAGCGTATTTTGAAGTCTCGCATGGAAATGATCGAGGCTAGAACCGTCGACTGGGCTCTCGGCGAAGCTATGGCTTTTGGATCTCTCCTCAAGGAAGGTATTCACGTTCGTTTGTCAGGTCAGGATGTGGAGAGAGGCACATTCTCTCACAGGCATCATGTACTGCATCATCAGACTGTTGATAAGGCGACTTATAGGCCACTCTGCTATCTGTATCCTGATCAGGCACCTTACACTGTGTGCAACAGTTCTTTGTCTGAATTCGGTGTCCTCGGTAAGATTGCAGTTTCTACAATTCTGATATAATTATCGGTACGCTCCAAAATGTATTGACAGTACTAAAAGTTTCTAGTATTGTGTAATGTAAATTGTAGATTTTCAGTACTAGTATTTCAAAACGTACCGTCGGTATTATAGCGCTCTATAAGTTTTGCTCCTGTTTTGTATATTAAAATGATTTTATTGCAATTATAGGATTTGAGTTGGGCTATTCTATGACGAATCCTAATGCGTTGGTATGTTGGGAAGCTCAATTTGGAGACTTCAACAATACGGCGCAATGTATAATTGATCAGTTCATCAGTAGCGGTCAAGCTAAATGGGTTAGGCAATCCGGTCTCGTAATGTTGCAACCACATGGTCTTGAAGGAATGGTAAGTTCGTAAAATCAAACTTAAACTCGAATTATTTTGCAATATAATTTACTTTCTTTAAATATAAAATATAAGTTTCCAAAATGGGCTATTACACTTATTTTGACTCTAATCAATTTCATATAAAATCAAGGCATACATGGGGTCAACCTGACAAGTCGATCGTTTTTATCATTCCACAATATAATTTATTGGCTTTAAATTCGCTTTTTTTTTTGTAGGGTCCCGAGCACTCTAGTGCTCGTCTGGAGCGTTTCCTTCAAATGTCTGCCGACGATCCGGATTACTTCCCACCGGAGAGCGAGGAATTTGCTGTTCGTCAGTTGCATGATAGCAACTGGATTGTCGCCAATTGTAGTACCCCGGCCAACTACTTCCACATATTGCGACGGCAAATCGCATTGCCGTTTAGAAAACCGTTGATCCTGATGACACCGAAATCGTTGCTCCGTCATCCAGAGGCTAAGTCTAACTTCGACTTGATGCTGGAGGACACACAGTTTCTCAGAGTGATACCCGAGGAAGGTGCGGCGACTCAGAATCCCAACGGCGTCAAGAAGTTACTGTTCTGTTCCGGAAAGGTCTATTATGACTTGAAGAAAGCGCGCACGGAACGGAAGTTGGATGATAAGATTGCGATCGCGAGAGTGGAACAGGTCAGTCATTACTTTTGGGACAAGTTGATCGTATCATATTTCATTAAATTTTTTTAAATTATATAATTTAATTATGTTGAAATATTCAATGTATGTCAATATTTTAATCGATTCTTTTGGTTCTAGATCTCGCCTTTCCCGTACGATCTCGTCAAGAAAGAAGCAGCTAAGTATCCCAATGCAGAGTTGATATGGTCTCAGGAGGAACACAAGAACCAAGGCGCATGGACTTACGTGCAGCCTAGGTTCCACACAGCGCTTAACGGCACCCGAAACGTAGTGTAAGTATCAAAATAAACTGAAAAAAAGTAAGATGTATTTGTATGTATGTATGTGTGTGTGTGAGTGCACCTGTGTTACACCACGTTATATTTTATTTCTTATATCTTTAGCTGTTCACACGGCCCACTTTTTATTTTGTCGCGACGATGAACGCGACGCGTTAAAATTTTGGAATTTATATATATATTCGAATCAGTGCGCGTTTATTTTATCTCTTTATTATAAGTTATACAGGCAGTCGTCTGCTTTTTTCGTTCTATATGTTTCATGAAAATAAAATGAAAAATTGGGCCGTGTGTTGCAGTGGCGCGTCAGACACGAGTGATCAAGGGTGGTTTGCCGGTTTGTTCTCGTCGCCCAAACCGACTAAAACCACAACTGTGTCAGAGCCGGAATCAACGGAATCTACTGAACCAAAGCAAAGAACAGTGAGGTAATATCGGCAAAATGGTCACTGAATAATTGTGTCATTTAATGGAAAAGTATTGTAAATTGATTTTTATTTAGATACAAGCCGTTTATTTTGAAAGTATCATGAATGAATTACTGAACCATTATTCTTATTCATGATTATGTTAGGAAATTCATTTAATATGTATTAAAGATATTGCAATTTTACATTAAAAATTGAATAAAATAATTATATGTAAAATTAATTGCGCTAATTGTATGAACTTACTGCCGTTACGTTTGCACTTCAAGTCTGTTAAATAGTTTCAAAATGGTTCTTTCAGTAAGATTTGATTGATATTGGTTGGTGTGTGTCGTAAATGTATCAGATTTTAAAAGCAGATTGCATATTTTGAGGAATTTATCTTGATGTTATAGGTACGCTGGACGTCCCACTGCATCGTCACCCGCTACTGGGAGCAAAATGCAACACCTCAAGGAACTCAAACAACTGCTTGACGACTCCCTCAACTTTTAATGATCCTGTATAGCACTACGTGTAGAACTGAAAGTTTATTTATTTTTCTCATATTTTAATGTATCCATTACTACAATTTTGTGTCCTGCTCGACATACACCACGGAACAGAGATTACACCGTAGCTGTTTAAATGATTTCTTCGCAATGACAACTCCTACGTTTAAGTTCGTATGTGCGCACGAATGTTTCATCTGAAATGTAATCTTTCCGCTTGGTCAATTTTTTTTCTTTCCATTGATGCATGTGTACACATGTACACAATTTCACAGGCTAAACTGTGGTAGTTTTCAATTAATATTAATGCAATTGAATATATCGATTACTAATTTACGATCTTTTAGCTGTACTCATGCTACCCTACAATCAGTTATTCATCTACATGTATATTTCATTCTTTTACCTACGTTTGAATGTGAATTTTAGGCATTTTTCTTTAATAATCGACGCGGTTTTGCATGTCTGAATGATACGCTAAATGTATGCGATGGGACGGTAATTTAGATATATATTAGTTTTACAAGTATATATATTTAAACGAATGTGTAAAAAAGAAACTTGCTAGTCCAATGATCTACATAAGTGTGAAACATTCGTGCGCTCGTTGTCCTCTGTACTTCAATCTGTTCGTACTTTGTTCTAAATTAATTTTGCGAGGTCGATAAGATTACAAAAAGGGAAAGTATTATTAATTTATGCAATGTTACGCAGCGCGTACATTTTAACGTGTAGTAACAATCCTGTAGGACCTGTAGCACACTCCGGGCCGAAGAGACTGTCCATGGCAAAAGGCTACGAAGTGCATATGGCGAATTTTTTTCTGTAGTAATTTATTTATGCGCCATGAGAGGGTTACCAATCACTTTAATTTTTTATCGTGGCTGTATTTTTATAAAAAATTAAATGGATTGGCGGGTTATGCTACGCGTTCTTGACGCGAAAATAGTATGACGTAGCACTAAATACCTCGAGATCTGTGTCTCGTTTCGACCTCGGTCGTGCCGACACGACGTTTAAAAGTGCCAGTAATAGAAGCGCATCGAACTCGGATCTTCGATTTGGGTTTGAACTTGAAAGCGCGTCACGACCGAGACCCTAGTGCTACTCCATGGACGGTGTCGACGGATGCAGCTCAGTAAAGAGTGTTGAGAGTAGAAGACAAATTAGTAATATTTAACAGCGTCTAGCGAATTAATTTTAATTAATAATAATAATTTAGCCGGGAAAGCCGCGTGACTCACGTGGGTCGCACGCGTAGCGTAGCGAAAAGGTGCGTAGTATTTAATATTCTTCTATCTGTACCGTTTGAAAGATGGGACGAACAAAGAAATGTTTGAGAAGCTACGTCGTCCTTGCGCTGATCGGAGGAAAGCGTTGTACGTATGGTAAATATTCGTTTTGTATTGTCGGAAAGCGGTCGGTGATGAGAAAGCAGTCTCATTATTTTGGCTTGAGATGCATCTGAAACGATAGTTGTGTGATATCTCTATTGATCCAGCACGATATTATTGTTAGACAGTTCACAAAAGCTACGGTACCTACCTTGTTCCTATCCGTTGTATCGTGTGCGTATTTATAACAATGATACCGGCGCACGTGTGTGCTTAAAAAAGAAAATTTCTGTCAAACAATGACACTTAAAAGTTCCATTTAGTAAACACCGCTGATATTACGCCCGATATTGTAGTATCTTATTGCTGAATTAAATTGTCTCATCGTCTCACGTCTGTCTGATTAATGTTGCCCCCTTCGCACTAGTAATAGTTTGCGTAATAGTTCCTTGAAAAACAAATCAGTCTTGAAAAATTACTCCCTTTGTATTGTCTGCGTATTTGAGGACTTTTTCTTTAATTTGCGACACATTGATACTTAACTAAGGCCATCAGGAAAGATCGATTTCGCAAATTAAACAAAAAATCTGAGAGGGGAGGGGGGGATAAAGAAACTCAACGTATTTTGTGAAAATTAATTTTTTCATTGTGCGTAATGTTAAAAGTATAGTATAGTGTGTAAATAGATCGTCAAAAAATAGATACATCGAGATACGGAGAGACGGGGGAGGGAAAAGTAAGCTATCTTGGTGCAGGCCAGCGAAAAGTATTAATCTCGAGTAGAATACGCAATGCTTGCAAGCCACGTACTAACGCTGCGTATTGAAAAGTAACTATTATTACTACGCTTGAGAGATACACGGCACTGCGTTTCATCGGGCAAGCAATGAATGTCGAGTACAATTCGTCAATTCGCGCTCCTAGACCCTAGCTTGCTGGGGTGTGCGTTTATGACGAGAGCACGCTTTTTCTTTAGAGGAACATAATTCGATCGCCTGAGCTCGACACGCTCGACATTCGTTTTATTTTTGCGTAGTACAATAAATAAAATATAGATTTATTTAACATAAATAAACGGATGTAATATATTTATAGCGTCAGTTCTCGGCTTAATAGTCGGTCTGCCCCAGCACACTGTACATGATCCTCTTGAAACTGTTGCTCTGATGGATCTTCTCGCCGTCGTCATCGAGCACGTTCATCTAGAAAAATTAGATTACTCGCAGCCGCTCACCACGCTCTCCAGGTTACAAAGGTGCTCTCTCCACAAAATGAATACGCTACGTTTTAATTTGGATTTAGGCGTAAATTTCCATCTCGTGAAGCGGCATGCATGTATTCGCAGCACGGAACGCGCGTTACGTGAGAAATAAAACAGCCGGTAGTGCAACACGTCTGCCCTAGGAATTAATTATCTCTACGCGGAAGCATTTTTTGTGTGCAATGCAAAAGTATCAGAAAACGCACGTACAAGTTCCTGCGAAAATTTTAATAGTCGTTGATAAGATCCTTAACGAAAGGGAGGGGGAAGGGACGTCTAAATGATCCACCCTTAATTGAAACAGATGCCGCAGATTAGATTGGTGTCTTCGACCGCGACAATTGTTAACGTTAGTGGCGATGGCATGTGTTAGATATATTAATATGTAATTACGAGGTAATCGTCGTTAAATGAGCCAACGAATCGACGCGAAATCTTTCTTTTTGCAAATTTAGAGGAGAAATCGATCCTTACGGAAAAATACCACAAAAAGACAACTGAAAGTTGCAAGAAAAAAGTACACGAAGTTATAGTAAATATTACAGTATTCGCTATAGTTTTGTGTGCTTTTTTCGCAACTACGGTAGCTTTTTTTCCATAAAGGAGAGGCGTCGAGTCCTCCGCGCGATATTCCATCGGTGATATACGGCGGCTGATTATTACCGAGAGACGTCTTGGCACGGTGCTACGGTAGACGAAAAAGAAAGAAGTACAAGAGAAGTAGCGCCTCGTGCCAAGTCGCTTATATAATCCGGTGCCGTTTTATCGTCCGGCTGCGGTTGGGTAACTTATAGCGTACGCGGCGCCAGGCCAGTGATCGATAAATCTTCCCGGTAAATAAGTGGTGAACAATAAGTGACGCGATAATAATAATAATAAACGTGAGCGTTGTGAAAATCGACTTATCGAGTTTCAGCGGCGAGAGAAATTTTTTTTTAAAACAGGTTTTTTTTGTTAAAATCTTTGGAATTTTTCTTTAACGATTCTAAAGACCATTGCACGTAACAAAGTTTTAGTCATTTAGTCGATTATTCTCGTTAAGCTAGAAGAATAATCGAGTGTGATTGGTCTATTTTCTTACGGCCTTACGATTATGACTAAAACTTTGTTACGTGCAATGACCTTAAGTTTCTCTGTGACGTTCCGCGAGATGTGCGACGCACGCAGTCGAACGATTTCGCGCAGGATGTGAGAGGATGCTTCGAATTCGCTTCGAGAATATATAGTAGTCTACGCTGCGAGCTGCGAGCTGCGACAGCTCTGAAATTCTTGCGCAGAACCCATGCGGCGACATGCGAGCGAGAAATGCATTCGCAAAAGACGCGTGTGGTCTCAGCCCGGCGCAATTTTTTCTACTGTACGCTCCGTAAAATCGATCGTGAATCTTTCTGATCGAAGAAAAATGCGGATACTTACGTATGCGGGACTCTTCGGCGGAGGCTGGTACACCTATGCAACAAACAATCATATCGTTGAAGTCTCTTAGTGCGCATTAAATGTCAAAAGAGAGTTAAGAGTTTATTGTACCGCACTGTTAAATGTTAAAAAATGAAATTTAATTTAATACCTTGATTTAAATAACATTTTACTATTTTTAACTACCATATAAATGTCGAAATTTATTGTTTTAACACAAAATAGTATTTTAACTCCATTGGTTTAGTTAAATTAACATTGTTTTTTATTTTAGTTATTAACTAAATATATAAACTTAAAATTAACATATTCAGTAGAAGGTGCGGTGACCTAATAGAATGATTAAAAATTACTCAAATTGAGTTTAATTCGACACTATAAATTTAAAGTGTTTTAATAAAATTAACGACATATTGAGTAGAAACAATGGCGATCTATAGGAATAGTTGAAAATGATTCAAATTGAGTTTAATTTGTCCGAATTTAACAGTGCGAGGCAAAAAAAAAATTGAGACCAGGCCTCGAAAGAATTGAAAATGAAATTGCATATACCCTGTTCGATTTCTGCGGCGAAAAGACACCGGTACGAGCCGGCTGCCTGACCTCCTGCACCTGATCCCCGAGTTCCTCCTCCTGCAGGGCTTTGTACGCCTCGCTCTTGCTGGGGTCGTACTTCACCGGTTTCTTCAGGCTGCACGTACCGCATGTGTACACAGGGGACGACTTTTAATTGCGTTCTTTCGTTCTTTCTCTCTCACTTGCGACTTTATCTTTCTCTTTTCTTTTTTTTTGTTTGTGTTCTCCGGATCGGTTAGCAGCGGCCGGGAGGGTTACAATTTGCCAATTGCGCTTGCACAATTACTTATGTTTGTTTTAGTCTGTTCGAGAGCGACTTTCAGACGCGTCCTCCAGCCGAGTTCAATCGAGAAAGAGCGGTCATTCCTTCATCGTGCAAACCCTGCGTGCATGCCCGATCAAGAAGAACGCGTTCGTCGGACACTTCGAAAATTGCGCCTTTCATCCTCGGAAAAAAAAAGATTCGGAAAAGAGTAAAAAAATCCCTCGTTAAAACCATGAGATCCAAGAGAAGACTCACAAAACACTTTCCAAGGTTTTTAATTTGTAATAAAATGTGTATATCCATTTCTTTCTCGTCACCAAAATTCTTTAGACCCACGATGATTTTTTCGCCGGCATAAAAAAGGGGATAAATAACTCAAATTATATGTACTAATTGCAATAAAAAAGAAAGAGAAGGGAAGGTGTCCTAAAAAATATACTTTTAATTTATTTTAATTTATAATTTATTTTCTTGCTAATTTTTTTTTGCTTTCTTTTCTTATTAATTTATATTCTTGCAAATGTAATTTTCAGATTATTCTTATTTCCATTATCAAGTTCTCTGCAGCACCCGCCGTTCCGAGAGATGTGGCGCAAAAATAGATTTCCAACGGCGCAATTTTCGAAAGTCGTCTCGAATTATTCGTGCACGATATCTACGATACAAGCATACGAACACTCGTTAAAGAAACGACGAAGTTAGTATAGATATTCTCACATATTCTCAACTACTATATTCATTATTGATTATTCACTACTTTGTTGCATGCAAGAATTTACTGCTGAAGGAAAAGCTTTTTTTGCACGGACTCGCGAAATTTGCAATTTCGTAAATTAATAATTCATGTTCTACGATTTCTACTATGTAATATGAACGGCAAACTAACCCGAAATAATATTCGCACAATCATTTCGAGGGATTCGCATATTCAGTGACCACGTTCTCTGTGTTAAACTCCATCGGCAATTAAACTAATCGTCTAAATTAATTTAATTATCCACGTTGAATTGTATTTAATTAAAATGTTAATAGAAACCAATAAAAGACTTGTGGCGTTTGAAATAATTTAAATGTAGGATTTTAATGACGTGACGGATTATCAAATTGTACAATAAGTTTAATGAATACCCAAAATATTTCTATCGACTTGTGATAATTATTTCTTGATAATTTTGATAATCGCAATTTTCATATTTGTTTTAAAAATATATATGAACTTTTCTCATTAAACTGTATAACAAATTCCGTTAATAATCTAAATCCGTTTTTCCAAGCCTAACAATCACGAATGCATAATTTGCTGTATACTTTATAACTGTATACTTTAATAACAAGGGAACGTGTCCAATGATTCACGTGAAAACCGGGCAAACTCTGCCGTCGTAGATCCGACGTGCGAGAAGCATCGGAAAACGTCTCGAACGTCTCTCGACAATTTTTTTTTAATTTGGTCTATTGAATTGCGGCCACACGTTCTTCGACGAGGCGGCCTTGGCCTGCTCTTTCAAGACTCTCGCTTGCTCCTGTATTTCCTGTTTCTGTTTCAGGAAGGAAAAGTCTATGAAAATGCTGGAAAACAAACAAACCGCTACGTAAGTAATCAATCATCAGGAAAATCCGAAAGAGCCGTATAGGAAAAAGAGAGAAGGAGCCGACGTCTCCTTCTCACTTAACGATTGACCACCGACGATCGTGCGCCCCTTTCGAGCAAAGTAAACTCGATTTATTTCTCCAATTGGTAATTTCTTTTCCCGAATTACAGCCTTCGTGGAAACGTCGTCTTCCGAAAAGGGATAATTTTTTTTCTCGTTCGCGTTCCGTTATTTTCTAAAAAAAAAAAAAGATCTCGGAAAATTATTTTCGTGAGAATCATCACGCTTCGTGGATATTTTATTAAAAGACACGCCTATAAAAAATGAAATAAGGATTAATAGAAATTAATAAAAATTCATTTTATTTCCCAGAATAAATTCGTGTTGATTTCTTCAATTCACTCGTCTTCTACTGCGATTGATATAGTACTTCAACCCCGTGCCAATTAATATCCTGTTAACTTCGATTAATGTAGAAAATTAGATTTTTCTGCACGAGCAATTTTTATTACATGACAGCGATTTGTGAGAGCGTGAGCAGCATTCAGCGGCGAAGCCAATTTTGTATTAATTATTAACCTGTGACTGCTGCAAGCATCACGGCGTATTAGCGATTCGTTATATATGTATATGTGCTTAATTCGGTTTAAGTGTGGTTAAAGGCTAGTTAAGAGAGAACTTAGTAGACAATCGTGTGAGTAGTGATCGACTACTTACGGTATAGCAGACGCTTGGCACTTGATAGTGTCAGCGATGTTCTGATCCGAATAGAGTCCGATCGGCGAGTTGAATTGCTTGTGGACAATCTAGAAAAATCAAATTTCACGTTTACAATCGCGATTTACAACGCATAAAATTCGCGATGTTACTATATCGCACAAAACACAAAACTCGAAGCTCGATCGTGGCTTGAAAATAAAATGACTAAAAACGATCGTTTTGTAAGCAGAAGCGCAAAAGAGATTATTTTAGAATCGTTTCTCTCTTCTTATTTTGACTTTTATTCAAAAGACGCAAAAAGTTTCAAAAATGGAGCTGGATGTACCACAGGGCACTTGAGTGTTGTGAAACTTTAATGCAATATAAGCGGAGTCTCTGCATTATTAATGTGATTGTTCACTAAAGATGTTGCGTATTATTGTTGCAATCTGTCCTCAAGTCGTGTCACTCGCGACTACGGTATTACACGTTATGACAATATAGCGCTGTAAAAAATAAACATAACTCTAGTGTGTTGGCACTGTGGATAGGACAAACATTCGACTAATGCCAAGTTTCCGTTATGTCGGAAATTCACGGTAACATCCAACACCGTCTTGACTCACGATGCTTATTCTACAAAGCACCGCCGTTACAAAATGACAGTCATAATGTCGCAATAGCTCCATAATCGTCGCCATTCCGCAGTTTCGTTATCTTGTACCTTCAAAATTTTCGAAACACGTTATTAGTGGCAGTCAATAATCTAAGCAATACGTTTAAATAAATGTCAGTCGAAATAAGATTCGCGTTTTGGTCATTGAGTTAAAATTTTATTCATATCACATTGCGTGTAAATTAAATTAGATTCAATTATTAAAATAATTCACAACTGAGTTAACTCCAGCGATTTAGTCGCAAATGGGAGTTGTATCGATTCACGATGTAATCGATGCGTCGGTATATATTATTTCGGATTATCGAGTTACAGATGAGTCCAGCAGACATCCTGTAATAATCGCGTTAACAGCGTGATTATAAAAATTGATTGTTATTATTAGTTATTAGCGTAAAAAATCGTAACAACGGGGATCGTCAAACGAAACTCAAGTTTCTTGCGGATATATCGATCGTCCAGAAAGCGTAAGCGAATCGTTTCTCGAAGCGGCTTACGAAAGTAAACAACGGAAGTTATCCAAACCTTTGGAACTTCATTCGGTCCCACGACACGCTGAAGTACCGTTTCCGCCACCTGCTCAGACGACGTGAAAATGAGATGTACAGTTTAAACGCTAATTTGACAAACGCGTATACGTCTCTCAAGAAAGTGGGAAGACTTATTCGCGAGTACGTCATCGCCGAGGGGATCGGATGTAGGTCTATAACGTCGGTTTACCTTTTGCTTCATAGCGACTTCGGGATGAGCCGGCTCGTAATGATGGGGTGCCGCCCTGATCCACGGATTCGGATGATGTCGCAGATAGCATTCGCCGAGATGGGCATCCTTCTTGACCTTGGCACCTGGCAAGACCAGAGGAGTCGTACGGTAGGGCTAAAAGACACGGTCACCATTATAGCTCTATTAAGTATTCTTTTTTATTTTATTCTGTATTATATTTTATACACATTTTATTAATGTATGACATTTATCTTGTTGTATACTACATTATTGAATTCATATCTCGTGTAAATTGACATTAACGATAATATGACACGGTAACTATGCGAGTAATGGCAGTTAATGGGGCAGATGAAACAAATATCCTGTCGAAGCGGTGCCAATTAACTAACGAGATCTAAAATAAACCGCAATAGAGGCCATGGCGATTGAAAGGTGGCTCGTTAATTCCCGACGCTTCTTACGCCGCCATAATTCCGAGCAACGACAAGAATAAATCGATGATGATGATGATGATATCGCAGCCTAATTTGACAGTGATCCCATTTCGTAACGTTAACGAGGTGAAGTGCGAGTTAAAAAAATACCGAGTCACAACAGAATATACTTGTCGCGATTTTATATCTCTTTAAAATACATTTAAGAGATATTATAAAATAATTAACGTCCAAATAACTCCATTAGTCATATTCGTGACAGATAAAATATTTTCCTTCGCAAATACTTCTAATTTCGTTTCAAAATGTTTCTATTTTATTGTTAAACTAACAGTGTTTTTCTCTTTAAATGGTAATTCTTCATTATTCTGTTTCTATAACATGTAGATAATTTTTAATTAGCAGCAACACTAGCAGAGACTGATTTCTATCTAATATTCAGACGCTGGCGAACCGGAAATGATATCGTCCGACGATGACAAACCGCGTCTCTAAAGAAGCAAAGATTTCGCGTAGCTGGCTCACAATGAGAGAAAATTACATAAAATCGACGGATGGTTCCTCGTGGCATCGCGAACGAGTTCGGCTTGCCAAGTTACGGATCGTTCCGTCACGTGTCGTCGCTTTTGCGCGACATTACGAAATTACGCGAATCTGCAGGTGCATCGTATACGTACGCCGATTCGCCACGCGGATCTACTATGTTTACAGTCCGAGTTGCCGAAACATTCGTGAAAACAAACGCGAGATCTCAAACGAATTTCCCGTGCCCGTAATATTCCGCGCGTCTTCGCGTATATATATTCTCACGAAATCGCAAGCTGGAGCGAAAATGTTAGAAACGCCAGGCATATGATTATCGCGACCTTTGAAGAGCCGTAAATAAAGCTTTCCGTGATATTTTCTCGAGGAAAGCAGTTTCTCATTTTACTTCCTATGTAAAAGTCACGTCGAGGTAATCGCTTTTGAAAGCGTAGCTTGAGATTTACAAGCGATTCATCTGCAACTTTTTTATTTGTCTTGAAGTTATTACACTGCAAATCCAAGTGTTATTTTTACACGCATAAATGTTTAAAAATGGCGCATTTGACTGAAACTCTTTTTACATGTTTCTTGCGTGTTAAACTACGTCATTTAACGTAATTAATAGTATTAAATTAAAAGTTAATATGTTCAATCGTGTTAATGACGTGGTTTAAAACTGCAAGAAATGTGTAAGAAAAACTTCAGTTAAAATAACACACTTGAATTTGCAGTGCATCTCGAGTTTACAGAGCACAATGGAAAAATACCAGACTGACTTTACGTATCTTAATCTAGTTTTAAGCAATTTCCTCAGTTATCTGCGACACTCTTTTACACCTTCTTAAATCAATTTCCTTCCCGAGAATATAAAAATAGAATAAGATACGAAATATAATTATAAAAAATATGATTATTATTATAGTGACCAATTGAAAGCAACGTCTGGTCACTCTGTATTGCTTTGAATTGAATATAATAAAAAAGATTAACAGATATTTCGGCATTTAATAAGTTGAATAATAAAATATATTCAAATATATATAAAAATACAAAATTTCTCGTATAATTCGTAAAATTCGATTTTTGTTCCACTCAGGGGGAGGGGGAAAAGGGTTGAATCATGCACTCATTGTTCATCGGCATTAGCTGTGGAACGTGCACGCTGCGATGTTTCACAATTTTAGAATCGCGGTCGCGGTCGCGGCAAGTTCGCGCGCGAGGTTCGCGTCGCGAAATCTCTCGCTCGCGGCATGAAATCATGCGATTACGATGATTCCATTATAAATGGGTCAGAAACGTCCTATTATGTTGGAGGGTGAGCCGGCGAGTGACTCTCTCGAAATAGACGAAGGCCCCCGGCCGGCAAAAATAACGCGCACCCTGAGCCACAAAAACCGCGCCTGTCCCCTCGCGCCTCTCGTCCGCTTCTTTCCGTCCGTGACTTTTTCACCAGGAAGCGTTCCGCCCATTCGTTCTTGGACGGGAAATGTCTCCCGTTGAAACGTTGGCAAGGTCGCACGATGACTGAGAAGGGAATAGGTCGGATTGCGAGGCCCAAAGGGCGTCCCACTTCCGTGACGTTCTCGATGGCGAATATCTCGATGTATTATGAAATGCTTTATAGAAATATTTAGAATAAATCTTAATGCGACCGATTCTTTCCAATAACATTATAGAAAAATTTTATCATGTTACGATTTTTAAACTTTTTTAAAGATTTCAGATCATCAATTAGTTAAACACAAGAAATTATTATTTAATTTAAATGTTATTTCCTTGAATTTGAATTTTATTTCTTTAAATTTTATTTCATTAAAGAATAAAATAATAGTTTTTTTATTTGTACAATGCTTAATATTTGGAGGAAGGGGATTGGTTGTTGTCTCCCAAAGTAACTGGAGTAGTGATTATTTCAGAATCACGTTCGGTTGATTGATTCAATTAATCTCGTCGCTCTCATAGCGAAATTTTTGCTCGCGGGCCTATGATATCTTTTTCTTTTTTTAGAGGATTTGCGCGAGCGTGATGCGCACGCTCGCGTGCGTCGTTTTGTAAAAGGTCTCTCGAACTAAATTCAGACGGAGCAAAACAGCTGTTTCGCAGAGTGTTTATTGCTTGGCGTCGAGGTGAAACTTGAACTCTTTGGAAACTTATTGAAGCACGTTGGCAAGAGGCACGCTAACGAACAGATGTTTCAACTTCATTAACGCACGCTGAAAGATACGAAATTATAATTACGATAATAATCGAATTTATTTCGTAAAGAATAAATTCCGATTTGCTCCATTTCTAATGCAAAAATTTTACTAACTGTCAAAATCGTCTATAATTACATCGCTTTCTGATTTCTGACTTGAAAAAAGGTACCGTCAAATTAAGAATAAATAAATTGATTAATAGTGTAATTAGATATAGTTAATATACAAAGACATTAATTCTAGATTCATATATTTTTCAATTGAATATTTGAAGTTTTTTTAACGGTTTAATTAAAACTCCATATTTCTAACAAGAGAAGAATAATAAACATTAGAAATATATTTTTATATCACGATACAAAATATTTTATATGAATTATCGTTTTTTGTGTGTCCGAAAATAATCACGTGTTTCCATCCAAATGTTGTTCAGTAAACAAAATTTTAAAAATCATTGTTAATTTCTGCACGCGCCAATCAACTGTTAATTAATCGTCGCATTATAAACGTCGGTTTTTAAAAAATTTCTCGATTTTTCGGTCGAAAGATAAGTTCGGAGGACCGTGGGTGTGTCTTTGTATGACGGCTTCTCTCGCGTGTTCGTGAGTAACCCAGATCCCGTTCACGAAAATAGAACGCGATACCGATGAACGGCATCCGCAAAGGCGATGCCTACGCGCGTTTTATTGCATAGCGCGTTATTAATGCACATTGCGTTTCACGCCCGAACAGCCTTTCATCTTAGTGGCTCCGATCGATCCCGAAATCGCCGGTACCTTCTTCGGAGTTCTCACAGACGAGATAGGTAAAATTGATCTAATTCCTCACCGAATGGCAGAATTGTCCTGCCGACGTTTACATTTGTGCACCGTGTCAAGGTTGAACAACGCGAAATTTAGATCTAGATCGTCTGGCGATCCTATTGCTTGTGTTTCGTTATTCGATATCGATACGACGCGTCGGTGGAGCTAAAAACCTGTGTTATTCAGTTTTGATATTTTTAGGGTGACATTGTTAAGCCTGAGCTTTATGGTTGTTCTCTTGTTGCGGACAAACCCACGCATAAATGCCATCCAGATGAAAAACAATGGAATTTTGTAAAACGGAGCGAGATCGTTTTGGCAGGTAACTCAGCGTTCCAATAGGAGGAAATTTAAAGTCATCTAATGTCGGAGATAACGTAATTATTAAATTATAAATAAATTTGCTTATGTATAAGTATATTTCTAATTCATAATTATTGAATCTTATTCATTAAATAATCGAATAAATAATCTCCCCGTATACGTATGCAAATTATAGTTTCATCTATAATATCTATAAATCATTTTTTAATCAATTAGATGCTTGGAGCGATTAAATGTTAATTTTAAAAAATTCTGAGAAATATCTCTGTTAAGAGGGGCCAAGTTTAATGTCGCAAGCATACAGATTCCGTTCTAAAATGCGACGTGACTTGCGTTACTTTCGATCTAGAAATGCTCTTGGGTCAGAAAAATTTATGGAAAAATAAGAATAAAAATAAGAACAAATAAAAACAACGTTAATAAAATTTTATTTTTCGGACGTCACCGTGATGCTTTTACGTCAATATAGCGGATGTAGCCCACATCACTCGCGCGCGCGAGGTCCGCATTTCGGTCGCGAAGAAGAGACACATTCAAAAGCAGGAGAAACTCGCGTCGCGTTTTCATCCTTATTGGACACGGGGTTCTTTCTTCTTTAATCAATCTAAATCGACGAAACCGACGAAACTTCTCGTCTCTTTCGTACCCAGTAAGCAGCCGCCTCCTCCTCCTTCGGATGATGCTCGATGTTGTAACGATAGACGGTCGTGTAAGCGGGCATCTTCTCGTCTCCGTCCGTCGAGGGGTGTCTCGCGGAGAGAGAGCTTCCCTCGCAACCACCGACTTTATGTCACCCCTTTTTCGCGCGGCAACCCTTTCGCGGCTCTCGCAATCGTCCTCGCGCGTCGTCCCTCGCTCGCGACTCTCGCGGGATTATTCGCTCTTAAGCACTACTGGCTCGGCGCGAGCGCGGGCGGCACTAACTCTGGCCTTTTCCACGCGGCTCCTCTCTCTCTCTCTCTCTCTCTATCTCTCTCCGGAGAGCTCTCTTGAAACTCGCTAGCCCTCGTCTTTACGTAAAAGCTTCTGACACCGGAAAAACGTCACAAGTCGAATACTCCTCGTTAATCTTAGACGCGGCGACTGTAATCGGATTATCGTCTGATTGAGAAATCGGAAAGATACATTTATGAATAAAGACATGTCAGGCTTTTAGATCAAAGATGTGTTTTTGCTGATTATCCTTCAATGAAACTCCAATTGGTAATCCTAATGTTTGGAACAGTTTTATTAGTATTCTCTTCTGTCAAGATTAAATCTTTTTTTTTTTATATTTTATAATCTTATTTCGTGCTCTTAGCTTCTAAAATTTCCTACAAGTTGATTTGTTGTTAGAATAATCGGAGAGAACGTTTTCTTTGGCAACGGCAATTCGATGAAATTAACGAGGGAGTCACTCGAGAGTGTAAATTTCGATTGCCAGATATATCGATAAATCTTTCACTTTCTCTCTCTATTAATTAAACACTGTACAAGGTATTTTAGATATCGCACATTCCTTTTCATAATCAAAGATGTTCAATACTATTAGCCAATTATATTAAAAAAATATATATTTTTGGACTTAAATGCTCAATTTTTCGTATAACATTCTGAGTATTTTTTAAATAAATATATAATAACTGTTTAAGAAATCCTTAAAAAATATTTTAAAAATTCTTCTTTACTAATTTGAACCTTTTACAGAAGGCCCTTATCATTCAGAAGGGAAAGAAGGACCAGAAAGATCAGAGAAGGACCTTTACATCAAATGATTAAAGCTGCGCGGTGTAAGTTCGAACTTCATAAGGAGAGTACACAGAGCATCGAAAAATTGCTGAATATATGCAAAGCTGCGCACATAAGGGTTAAATATCCTTAGAAGACTGATCCTCATTTGTGCCATTTTAGAAAAAATATTCGAGTAAGTTATTTTTAATTAAACATTTAAATTTAATACGTCCGCAAGAGGTTTGCTTTTTTACACGTTCTATCACTCGTGGCCATTAAAAAAATTAAATCTGCAAATACTCTGTTTCGTGATCGAAGACGCTATTAGCGATCTTTCAAAAATTCCAATGCCATTAGGAATATCTTTCAAAAAATATATATATACTTTGTTTTCAGCTCAAATATCGTTAGAAAATTGATCCCAGCTTGTGCCATTTTAAAAAGAAATTTGAGTAAGTTATTTTCACTTTAAACATCTTTTAATACGTTGAGGAGAGGTTTGTTTCTTTATATGCTTTATCTCTCGGGGGCCGTAAAAAAAAATAAAATCCGCTGTTGTGCGGGGAATGTGGTAAGCGAAAGCGTGAACGGCGACGTCCTGGATCCGCGGGACGTATCGGATCGGGGCAGGCAGAGGTGGTTTCGATGCAAAAGCGATATTTATAGCGTGTGGTAACCGGCTCTACTGGTGGCGACGGACTTTCCGGCATCGTGTGGCGGGCCAACAAAAATATATTCACACTTCGGACTTCCCACGAATAAAGGCACCTCCGCGATGCCTTCGCTTCGCGCTAGCCGCTAGACGATGCACGATGCACCCTGGTATCGCGATACACGCGATGTCGTCGTAATGAGCGCGATGACGCGTTTCTCTTCCTCTCTCTCCGCGGTCTCGTCGGTATCGTTCTCGCAAAACCGGTTAAGCGCTCCGTTAAACGACGGGAGACATCTGGACGCGAAATCGCGATTTTGCAAATCATTTCCTCGTCGTCGTTAAAATCGCAAAATGTTGATATCCTTCCAAAAACTTATCGTCCCTCGCAGTTCTCTGCCCCTAAAAGTTAGTTGAATTAATCATGCATTTATGTGAACTTGAATTAACTTTAATCGCGATTTTACGAGATTTTTTTTCTTCCTGCGAGATTTTTATGAGCGCCGTTACGCGATTCGGTTATCGATTACCGCGATAACGCTAACAGCGGGCCAGAATTTCGTCAGCTCATTGAATAAGCTCGTGTCGAAACGAGTGGGAGGATAGGATTAAACGCGACAAATGTCCTGTCACGCCCGTAGCCGTGATCCGGCAATGAGTTATTGGATTTCAAAGTGCAGAAGCGTATTTCGGAACTAGCTCGAGCTTGCCAGACGCCACGACCATACGGACTTGAGAAACCGGAGTACGGGCCGCCTCTTATTACGGCGATTCGCGTGCCTCTGACACGGTCTATACTTATTTTACGATGTGCTTTGATCTATTTTTCCAAATCTTGCTCCTCAAACGGAGCTTCGCGTTACGAGCGAATCAAACGTTTCGTTCTTTTCCTCAGATGAGCTCGGTAGAGCTATAAGCTCTTCTGACATTCTCCGTGCTTTTCAAATTATTGTTTGAGAAAACGCGAAGGCAGATAGTCGCAGGTGTAAAAGCAATCTTGCCTATTTATGCAATTGTTCGCGGTGTTTCGACCACTCGCTACAGAGAAAATCTCCGAGAATCCGTGGAAAAATAAATAAAAAGGACGCTTATGGCGCTAGTGACAGGCAAGAATTAATTACGACGAGACGGTCTCGACTCGGTACTTTGTATCTACTTTTAGCTTTCGCTTGCATAATTTCGCACGTAACTGTCAGTCGTCGACCAAACTCTGGCGCCTGCTGATATCAATAAACGTGTGTGATAACGCGCGTTTCTCTCTTTCTTCAATTCTTAATTGCGATTAAATAATAAGTCTTAATTTAGACTTTAGACGAAATTTTCCTTTTCTAAGTATTATGTTTGAATGTTTTAAAATAGTACATCTTGTATTATTTCTTTGCATGCCGAACCCTGGTGCCTGCTGATATCAATAATCCTATATATAATAACGCACGTTTCTTTCTTTCTTCGGTTCTTAATTGCGATTAAATAATAAGTTTTTTAATTTAGACCTTAGACGAAACTTTCCTTTTCTGAATATTATGTTTGAATGTTTTAAAGTACTTTTTATAATATGTTTTGTCATTATTTCTCTGTATGCGTGGTTCAATTGCATTAAGAACTATTGGCCTGAGATATTTTTCCACGACGTTCTACTAAGCAGACTATTTCAGTCCTGGAAAGAAACAAATACCGTCGGACTTTGATTTATACGATGTAACAAAGTCGACTGTTCCTTCGCGCGGATCAACGAACCAGCGGATTTGTATTGTCGACACATGCGCGGAAAATCAATTTTCAACATGTTTCAAAGACTAAATGCATTTCCGTTCCCGATCCCTTAGAATTGCTCTTAAGACACGTCATTGATACACCAGGTTTATCGCTGAATCTAAACAAATCCAACAATACTTAAGCAAAGCTCTCCGATTGGCTTTTAATATAATCATGATTTTATTCAAAACGCGTACAAAACGTCGATTCAATGAACATTTATTTCTGTTTACTCTACACAGAAATTTCTTGTACGATCAAATTGAGAATTTGGATGTAATTTATTTCTCTCTCGTTTCTAGCACATTATAGTTTAATTATTTCTAATTATTCAGTCCTTTTATTTATTATTTATTTATAAGTCCCTTTTCTTAGACGAAAACAACGGTTTGCAAAAAAACGATGTATAAAAATGCATAAAATACCTGCGACAGGTGAACCCTTTCCTCGCGGATCTCGTCGAGGTGTTCGTGCGGCAAAACGATCGTCCTGCGAAGACCGTATTCCGGAGTTGGCGTTGACCTGTACTCCTCAACCGAGGGCGGCGGCACTGGACTCTTCGGTAATTCTTGCGGATGTTCTTTTGGTTGTTTGTACCTGCGTGATAGAATTGCAAGAAACATTAATAAAATACGGCAGGTCGCGCAATCGTGTCGCAACATAGCGGTAGAACGCAAGCAGCTTTGTGGCGGTTTCAAGACGATCGCCTTTAAAAACAGACGGCAGACAGTGATTTTGTGAAGAAGAAAGAGACTCAAACTCCGATCTTGCAAGATAAACATTAAAGTAGAATACATTAATTTTATAGAATTAGTAATAACACAAGAAACGATTCTCTTAATTTTAACTCGAGAAAAATCGGCATTTCAAATTCCGATTCGCACATCCGAGAAAAGTCTATTATCTGATAAAGACGATCGCCCAGGTGCGAAAGTAAGTGGTAAAGGTTTCAATGCAGAGCGGCCAGAAATGTCAGTCGTGCTTTGTGCGAAGAAAGAAACTGATTAATCGAAGGGACGAATTAATCATTGCGGCGTGTTGCGATATTGCAGCGGCAACGTGGTGTCATTGTTGTGAAAGTTTTTACGGCATCAAACGCGTAGTAATAATAGAGATAGTATTGCATTCTGACAGACTAGTGGCCGCAGCCCCGTTGCGAACGATCGGCCTGAAAATCATGGGTGGTGATGGTGACGCGGTGATGGTAGTGTCGGTGGTTGATGTACGTGATGATATTCTTGCGGCACTCGACGGCTCAGACCTTTCGACGACTAGCTTTATGGTTTCGGAGTTTTGGAGGAGATTCTGCGCGTCTACATGCCTCACGTCGCGCGCGTCGTAATCGTCGATCTTCTTGATCATGTCACCCCTCTGGAGCGCCTCGTTCTCCGACTGCAAACAGAGCATCGATCCGGCGCTGTTAGCGATAATTATTTCTTGTTACATTAATCTTTGAACATTATTAATTATTATTGTTCTCAAGAGACAATCAGAAATAATGGATATCTCAAATCTCTAAAACACGCGACGAAAATCTGCTTCTTAAAGTTTATTGTTTATTTATTTCTTCTGAAAGTGTGTGTAAGATATTAAGATATTCCTTAAGCAGCTTTTAAAAAGTAATAATAAATAAAATATATAAAATTACAATAATAATTTTTTATTCAACTATATCCACTTTTATTAAATATGGTCACGACGTTTCGACCCTTGATTTTGGCTCTTTTTAAGTTTAAATCTATAAATCATATTTACTGATTTCATGACTTAGATATTGTTTATTAAAATTTTTATTGCATTATATCGTAGGATTTCTTTGTCAGTGGGAGTAATGTAAATTACAATTTACATGTTTTTTAATTATTGAATTTGTGATTCATAGATTTACACTTGGACCAAATCAAAAAAGACCAAAATCAGTGGTCAAAAAAGTCGTGACAACTATATTTAATAAAGATGACAGTTGGGTCGAATAAAAAGTCATTATTGTTAGTTATTTACTGACAAGGTAAAGTCTCGTATTTGGTTTAAATAAAATTACATTATAATTTTAGTTTTCACCAATACAATTTAACAGTGAATGTTTTCAAAGACTTACAAAAATTAATATACAAGTATATCAGAGAAAAACATGGATGAAACTGGAAAAAAGAAAGACTGCTGGAATGTAGAATAAGATGAAATGAGGGAGGGGCAAACACACACACACACACACACACACACACACACACGTAGATTGTATTAAATAATATTAAATTCGAATTATCTATTAACTTATTCTTCGTGCAAGATAAAAACAGAGACGAGATTAAGACGTAATTAGAGAATATTAAGAAAATTTTTTAGACAATACGAGTTCTACGCTCTTCGTTTGAGCGATATTAGTGAGAAGACGCTTCTTCGGTTATCTCGTTGGACCATATTTCGGCGCGGGCTCAGAAATGTAACGCGTCGTATCGTGTATCAATGTCAACGGGTTCTAGATCGAATTGTTGATTTGAGAATTCCTTGGCAGCCTTCTTCATTTCGAATGTTCACGGGGATTACGTTACGTCCACCTCTATTGTTCTGCCGCGGCGTTCGCCAACGCGAAATCGCATCGAAGCCAAGTAAGCAGACACCGTAACGAAGCCTCCCTAATGAGAGAAACGACTTGCTCCGCGCCCGGATAAAAATCATTGCCCGGAGATAAGACGACCCGTTGCCCTCAAATGCGACAAAGAAAGGGACTTGCATACTTTCTTCTCGAGGCACACGTTCGAGGACTCGATGGTTACTGGCTTTACACTATGATGCTTATAAACACAAACCTGACTTAGAACTTTGTATTATTAAAGTATTTTTTAAACTGTGACAAGTAAAATTATAATAATAATATTACTATTATAAAATTATAATAAACAAATTATAATTCTATAAAATTATAATAACTTTTTACATATAATTTATAATTCCTCAAATGTTATAGTTAGTTGATTAACACTTTCAACTTGATTAATATAACTTGCTTCCAAATTGAAAAATTTGCATCTATTTAAAACATTAAAAAAACTAATTATTTCTTTTTTTTTTAATTATCTTTAGTACTTATCATATTTCGTTTATGTCATTATCTCATCAATTCTTTTTTTAAAGACCACCAAAAACTCCAGAACAAATTTGAATTCAACAGAACCCACTTCGAAGATCGCAAATCCTAACTAATAATTTAATTCGGAAATCAACTGAAGACGTGAGAAGATCGGACGGGAATTAAGACGAGAAGAAGAAGAAGAAGAAGAAGAAGCAGACTCACGCGGGTGACAACGATCGGCGTGCCGAGATCGGCGCCTCCGGCGATTCTTATGCCCCATGGCCTGCCGGTGCTGGATCTCCTGAGTTTCACGATCACCGTGTGCCTCCTCGTCATGCTCCAGACTCGGTTCAGTCAGCACCACCACCAACAACAACACAACAACAAAAACAGCCACGACACAAGCACCTGATCAAATTGCGAGATGCACTACGGTGGGCGAAACGATGGGAGAGAAATAAAAAAAAGAGTAAGTTTCACAAGAGGAAAAAGGGACCGATTCTCTCGGAAGAAGGGAAGACCTCGCGCGAATAGACGCGAGCGATGGGTCTCCCGGATCGTGTGGTCGCTCTCTGGTTTACTACTGAGATAGCAGCTGCAGCTGTAGCACTTGCCGACTATATGCCGACTTTGACAGAGCCCTGAGCCGAAAGCGAGAAAGAGAGAGACAGCGAGAGAGGGAGAGGAAGAGAGAGAGAGAGAGAGAGCTCCGTTGCCTAACTCTAATGGAGACTACCGCCGCTAGTCTCTCTCTCTGTTTCTTTCATCGCTATTCTGGCCCCATTTCGAGTTGGCGTATTGCGCCAACGTATTGTTCCAACCCGCACTCGTTTCTCTGACATTTGCTATGTATATATACGTGCGTGCGAGCACGCATAAATACTTTACAGTCTTTCTCGCCTTGAGGGAGAAATGCAGAACCGTGGATATCCGCGGAAAGCTAATCGCGGAAGGATCCTTGAAGATGCAAATGCTAAAGGCAAGAATTTTGTGACTAAAAAATTTATCTTTTGTTATTTAAATTTTGATGTGGTTTCAAACAGATCACAGCCTGCTCGTCTCGTTGATCTCTAGAGAAAAATATGATAATTGTAATATTAAAATAACAACTACAGTTGCTTCAGCAATTGAAAGTGCGTGGCTGGAAAGGAATATTTCTGGCCAGGCTTTTGCCATACCGTTTTTTAAGATTTAAGGGGGTCGTCTGGTCAAGAGGCTGTTTTTTTGGGGGAATTTTTTGCAAGGAATCATAAGAATACACTTTTTTGAAACTTTTACATCATATTTATTGATATTTGAAGAGTATTTAGAAATTTTTCCAAGTTGATATATGGTCAAGAATCCGCTGTAGAGCGCCCCGACGACAGCTGTGTAAAAAAATCGGTACCCACGATTCCGGATCTCCAGTTCATCCTAAAAAAAAAAAAAAAAATTCCTTTTAATCTGTGGATGTGTGGCTATCGTGTGAACTAGAACCAAATAAAAATATTAAAATTTCAATTTTTGCCAACGTTTTGAAAAAAAGTTTCATTATGAACTTTTTTCAAAACGTTGGCAAAAATTGAAATTTCAATATTTTTATTTGGTTCTAGTTCACACGATAGCCACACATCCACAGATTAAGAGGAATTTTTTTTTTTTTTTTTTTTAGGATGAACTGGAGATCCGGAATCGTGGGTACCGTTTTTTTACACAGCTGTCGTCGGGGCGCTCTACAGTGGATTCTTGACCATATATCAACTTGGAAAAATTTCTAAATACTCTTCAAATATCAATAAATATGATGTAAAAGTTTCAAAAAAGTGTATTCTTATGATTCCTTACAAAAAATTCCCCCCAAAAAAACAGCCTCTTGACCAGACGACCCCCTTAACACTATAATTTTTTTTTGGTAGCTTTTTAAACCTAGTTACTTAAAACAATTAATTCAATAAGTTAATTCAATCTGATAGAAACGCGGCAAAACTATAACAAGCTGAAACTTAAATCAAAAGATACATGAATCCGTAATATATATATATATATATATCATTGAAGAATCTGATATTCTTAAATATTACCTTTCTAAAAAAAAATTTCAGATATTGAGGGAATATATAGGATTGAATGTAATTTGAATTCTTCAATGATATACATTACGCAAAATTATTTGTCACGATAATTTGCAGAAATTATTTGTGGTATACGATGTAGGACGCTATTGCAATTTAAAGCAACAGGATTTTATGTGATTTTTATGTGTATGATACAAAACGCTATGAATATCGGAGAAGATAGGCGCGGGTAGGACTCCATAATTCTATAAATTGTATAACTCTCATGCACAACGCAACTTTATTGACTCAGTTCGAAATATTTTGAAACGTGTTTCATAACCAATTTATTGTAAGTAGGGCGGGCTTATGTACGGTTTAGTATCTACGGAGGAAGCTACGAGATACGCTTCATCGTGTCAAATATCTCAACGGCAGTTTCTTCATTCGTAAATTTGACATCGAGTTTCAAAAGAAATTATTCATTTGTTAATTTGTTCCGACGTCAAACAAAAACGAAGTTGCAATCTACTCGTGATTAACAAAAAAATAGATATTTGGATCAACCGGAAAAAACGTGGGACAATAAACGATCAGATAAAGTAATTATAAATTAAATAAATTATCGTTTAACTATTAGAACGTTTCGACTACACGGAGTCTTCGTCAGCCGACAAAAAATAAAATAGGTATAAGTTAGGTCTTAAAATATTCGGATACCTAATTTATTTTTTCATAATTCGAATCGTCGAAATCATTCCGAATCTACTTCCATTATCAAATATTTCCTGTAATTGTCATTGTCGAATAAGCCATTTATTTAACCGCGAGATAAACCGATTGTACCTGTTTGTTTCAACGTAGCTTCAAAGTTAAGCCTATCATCGAATTTTCCGCAAAACGAAAAACTCCAGACTTCATCGAGGAACCTGCCATTGGAAATCGAGGTGGTTGGTTCTGGCAGACAGATGATCGGACTATAAATCGGGAAAGAGATCGAAGGGACTTCTACTGGGTCGCGTGCCCTTCGTACTTACATAGGTCTCGTAAAAGTTGCCTATGGAGAACTTGAGGGCCATCCTCGATTCACGAAAACCTGGTCGGTCGCGTATTTTTTTCTTCCGCTTGTGAGACACACTTCTTCTCACGCGCTTCTTTCGCCGTGCGACGTTCACGGGCAACGAGGAACTTCTCCCCTATGCAGGCCGATTCGATGCAATTAGCTTGGCTGCACTGTAATTAACGGAGACTAGAGAATCGGCGACGGGAGAAAGAAAGAATGAAATAATGAGAGAGAGGGAGAAGGAGAACGCGTGTAGGACTTAAATTAGCAACCTATAGCGCGAAAGGTTAGTCAATCGCTCTAGTGACTCACTTTACCTTAATTTATACGATCATTAACGCATATCGCCAATATGCGATGTGCCTAGGATTGGCGGTCGACGATAATGAATCACCGGTTAATTACGCATTGCAGGGCAAACTCAAAAAAAGAGAGAGAAAAAGAAGGGACCATCGGAATTAGTTGGTACTTCCGGGAGTTCGTGGGAACTAAAGACAACAGCGTTCCTTTCGCGTATAAAACATATTTAATGTATAAAACCTCTCGCTTACTCCTATCAAGTGCAATAAAGACTCAAAACAATATAAAAAAATAATAAACTAATTACTAATAAAAATAAATAATTCATTTTTAATAGAAATGAGAGATAGATAAACAGATGTAAATTCTTTATACCCGAATTCTATATGTAAATTCTTTTAACACCCGAATACCGCTCGTAATACAGGCCAAAACACACGATTAGCTTTTGCTTCAGACGAGCGAAGATACTTTTATTTGTTGTTAATATACGCTGGCCTTATAATGCGTAATAGAGTTAGCATTGATTGCCCTGAAGAAGACCAAGTAGGTCGAAACGTTGGTTACGAATTAAAGTGGATTAGAAGTTAATGTAAATTCTTTATTAACACTCGAATACCGCTCGTAATACAGGCCAAAACACACGATTAGATAAACAGAGTCTATTTTACCATTGGAAAGAATTGTCTTATGGGCATTAATGGATGATATATACTACGAAGAACTCGTTGTTTTATAGATATTCTTCGGTGATCGCTCGGCTGATGACTATACGTCGTATCTCATTGCTGCCCGCACCGATCGCATCTCGCAGCAATCTTCCCGTCGCGTAATCATTGATGTACCCGTTGCCACCTGTCGAGAGATTATCCTTAAATAAATATCGCTAAAAACGTCTAAAAATTTCTTCATCAATAAGTTCGACCTTATATCCTCTACGTCTGTTCTTTTATAAATAATTTACAAGTACTGTACTATTAATTGTCGATAATAGATTTACCAAGTATCTGTATTGCGTCCAACGCTGCTTTCATTGCGTTCTCGGCGGAGAAGACGAGTACTGCGGCACAATCCTTGCGATTTATGTGACCGGCGTCGCAGGACCTCGCGACAGAGTACAAGTAGCTCCTGCTCGCGCTCAGAGCCGTGTACATATCCGCTATCTTCCCCTGAAACGTAATTAGAATTGGACGGCATCTCAATTGGAGATCGTAAAAATTTTTCAAACAGAGACTTGGAGTCTTCTGTCTTGTTACCTGTATTAACTGGAATTGCGCGAGATATTGGCCGAATTGTTTTCTCGAATGAGCGTACTCAAAGGCGATGTCGCAACAAGCTTGCAAAATTCTAAAATTTACGTTTAAATCGCACACAGTGAAATATAGACACGCTCATTTGTGAATAAAACCTAAACATTTATTTGTCGATAATCTGACGAAAATAAATTTTCAATATTGAAGTTTCTGTCGCACTGTAATACACGTCAAAATGTAAAAATTTATATATATAATACGCAATAAAATGGATTTTCAAGAAATATAATTTTTATTTCATTGATCGTAAAAGATGCATCTGACAATCTTGATACAACCTCTTTTAACCCGTTGTGGTCACATGGGGTCCAGTGGACCCCAGGCTTTTTTTTTCCTTAAAAGTGTACTATTTTGAGAGTAAAACGCAGGAAGTTTTTTTACTCTATCTCAAAAAATTTTGATGAATATTTTTGTAAAAAAAGTCAAATTTCTCGAAAAAAAAATTTTTTCTCGCATTTTTTCAACATAAAAAAATTTTTTAAATTATTGGATTATAAAGAGGAAGTCATAAACTAAATTCCAGTTCAAGGTTTGAGTCGATACATCAAAAGAACGCAAATGGCAACTGTTGTGGGGTCCATTGGACCCCGTGTGACCACTACGTTATTTTTAGGAGCTGTGACCACAACGAGTTAACGCGCAAAATACAACGTGGAAAAACTATAGAACATCAAGTGCAATTTTATGTTATATCATTCATTGCTTTCCTGAGAACTTACCCCACGGGTCCACTGGATACTACTAATCGTTCCAAATCCAGTCCGCTGAAGAGCACATAAATACCTTTGTTAACTTCTCCTAAAACGTTCGCGGCTATAACAAAAATTCACAATTTTTTTAGACAAGAAACTTTTATATAAGAAACGAAAAGATAATAATTGATTTCAATCGATTGTGATAAAATTAATATAGACTTAATAAAATGTTGACAATTTCTTAAATTCC